TGAAGTGTTTTCTGGCACGATTGGGGCGTTGTGCGCGGGTGCACCTTCCTATTGAAACCAACAGTTTCCAACGTTGGTTTTTTTGTGTGCCGTATATCGTTGTATTCGTAATCAAAATTGATACTCAATACAGTATGTACTTTTTTTACGGGCCATATATAAAAATAAAGTTGATAGTGATTTGTCAGAAACGAAATTTTGTGTTAAAAACCTCTCAACGCTGTCTTGTCGAGTTCAAATAGTGACAATTAGAAAGTGTTTTTTATCTGCTCAAATAATGTCATGAAAAAATAAAAACAAAATCGGCAAATTTCGGTTTTTCTGGCATATCTTCGAAAGTAATCGGAATTTTCTGGTTTTCTTTACAGCATGATAATAACTGTTTAATTGCGCAAGGTTTCTCTAATTTGACTATCATAGTATCTTCTATGACTTCCGAGATCCCCATGATAGACATCCGTATCTTGGACACAGTGTATAATAGTTAGCAATAATAACAATAACGTCCTCATATTAATTACGATAAGTCGTTAATCGTTATACATTTATGCTGTATAAATTAACAGTTGTGATGTAATTTCTACCACTTGGCTTGTATATTTCTTTTTCTCGTGCAAGTCATTGTACACTTTCCACTTGTCATTTTCCCGACGTAGTGGCCCACACAGTTTTTGTTTGCTCCTTGTGTGAAACCAATTAATCCTCGTAGCAAGAACTGTGTTTAACCTAATTTTTAAAAAACCGTTGCAACGCTAACTTAGCTAATAGCCGAAGCAGAAGAACATACGCAAATAGAATAATTGGCGCAACCACCCTACCTGAATTTCCTTCTCTGAGTCCCTCACCAGTAGCGCTCCCCTTTCACTAGCTCAGTGGAGACGGGACGTAGATGTTAAAAGGTAACAACTTCGGATTCCTAAGGGAACCTCTCACAGGGAAGTACCACCAATCAAACATGTAACGAGTGGTTTGATTTCGCGCCAAATTTCATTAAAAATTTCGAAATTTCTTGTCATGATAGTGAAGGTCACCCTGTATATTTCATTATTTGTTCCGGTTAGAAATTTTGTGTTTGGGCATTTCGGTTCGCTCAAGACTATGGTCCGATAGATTTAATTTCGCTCAGATTTAATTTCGTCGTGGGAAGAGTGCAAAGCTGATTGACGTCATCATGAGTAATGCGAGTTTTTTGTCGTTCGTTTATCAACTTTGGCGCCGTCTAGACCAAGAATAGGAGCGGATGTAGCACCGGCCGTCAAGAGATAAGGAGTTTTCACGTCATCAGCAGAAAACCGTGAGATCAGTTTTAGTCAGCAGTTCCTTGAGGTTGACGACGAAGTTAGAGTGGGTTAAGTCTTCTTTATCTAAACCAATGGGAGAATTTCTAGCGGGATCCATTTTTGTTTTATGGTAATTTGGGTGTGGTTTTTTCATTTCAATTCTGAAGAAGGGGAGCGTTTTAAGGAGACTCGCGGTTGGTACGTCGAGGGGTCAACACGTACCTTGAGTGATCGCGTTTTAAGGAGACTCGCGGTTAGTACGTCGAGGGGTCAACACGTACTTTGAGTGATCGCGTTTTTAAGAGACTCGCGGTTAGTACGTCAAGCGGTCAACACGTACCTTGAGCGATCGTTTTGGTACACTTGGCGGTTTGAGCCACCGGCTTATTTCGGTTGCTCCCAGTTGCGTGCTTTTTGCACCCGTTCCGAAGTGTTATTTTCTTTTCGTGTTGATTTTTTTGGCGAAGAAGACCCAGGTTCCAATCAGGTGATATTTGGGCGAACCCTTGAGCTTCACCCCAGTTTACTTTGGATGCAGTGAATCGCGTTAGGATACGTTGTGATTTCTCGAGGATATATAAGTCAAAGTGCTGCCCTAGTCCTCAAGGCGCAGAATTTCGGGATCCGCCCCAGGTGGAATTTCCTACTAGTGCCGTACGGTCATTTGTCGAAGGAGCGCTGCGTTTCGGAGAGATATTTGCCCCAAGAAGAGCTGGTGAAATAATACTTTGAACCATCGCGGTTTACCGTCGGATAGTGATCATAAAAGTTTGTGTTCTGCCGTACCGCTAACTCAAAAATCCGTCTCCCGCAGGCGGTCAAAGCTAATAAACTAATAAAATAAAATTAAGTACCCGTGCTGTGTAGAAACTTTGGCAACTAGCCGTCTCCCACTCGCCACGCGAAGGATTTCCTGGACTAAGTTTCCGTTCAAACACTAAACTTTGCTTTCGTTCCGAGGAAGGATAGGCACCGTGGATTTTTGTTTCCGTGTGTTAAATTCAAGCCACCCCCTAGGAAGTCACAGAGACCTAAGTGTCAGGTTTCATCACATCCACCCTGTACCAGAGGAAAGAGCAGTTCACAAGATCGGCTGTACAAATGTTGTAAAGGTTAGTCTAAATTAAATTTGTAATATTCTGTAAAATTCCACTTTTTGGTAATTAAGCTATAGTAAAAAAATTTTTGATTTGATTGATTATTAAAGTCCAATGAACGATTACCGAAGAGTAGGATAAATTTTTGTGTTTATTTAAATAAGTCCCAGCCCACGCTGGATTAAAAAACGATTACCTGTTGTTGCAATTTTCAAACTGTAGAGGATGGCCACCCCTTGAGTAAATTAGTTTCACCTAATAGGATTTTTTATTTAGTTTAGTTGTCATTGTTAAGCTAGTGTTTTTACAAGGAGAAGAGAAGAACTGCTAGATCCCTGTAAATTGTTTGTATCGCTAATATCATTTCAATATATTATCTATTTGGTTTCAATGTGCCTGTCTTTAACAAAGAACGAGGGGAAAGAAAGGGAGGAGTAGGAGTTGAGGCAGAAGACTGGTAGGCGGCAGTTTAAGGTTTGTTACGCAGTTTCAAAAGAGAAAAAAGCCCACCGATTTGAGTTAGCCGGAGCATTTATTTTTATCGTTTGAGCAGCCTCAGAAGAAGACGGTTTGCCTTGCCGGGCGGAACCGATGGTAATCTTCAAATCCAGAAGGAACCCCCGTAGCAAACACAACACATAACTTTACTATAGTCCTCTTTTATTTACAGCCAAAAATGGCTGTAAGAACGATATAAATGTTAATAAATCTGTATCATATACATATAAGAAATATAACATTAGAGCAGCCAGGGAATTCCAAATTTGTACAAAAAAATTTAAATAGGTCACCTTCCTCCCCCCCTCACCTCCAGAGAAAAAGACATAGGAGCCCCGTTTAAACATTATTTATTTATTAAAATCATAGAAGACGATGGTCAAATTAGAGAAATTTGCCGATTTCGTTTTGATTTTGTTCTGATCTTATTTGAACATATACAAAAAATAAAAGACACGACCTCAGGACCGAAAAAAGATACATACTGTATCGAGTAGCATTTTAATCGAATAAAACGATCTACTGCGCAAAAAAAAACAACAGTTGTAAACTGGTGGTTTCAACAGGATGGTGGAGCCACGCATAACACCCTAAACGTATGAGAATACCTATGGGATAAATTTTCTGGAAAATAGAAAATAGACATCCTTATCTGGGAAACGGTGTATATGTTTCCGAATATAGAAAAAGCGAATTTAATAGATTGAATAGTGTAGGAGATGGTTACAGCACAGGCGGACGGATCCCGAATTTGACATAAAATTTGAAACTAATTGAACAATGTGTGTTTCCACATGCCCTGCGAACTTTCCTTTCCCATTGTTGTAAAATGGTAACAAAAATAGAGTCTATTAACAAAGGCTTCTACAAGTTTGTAACTATTGTCCTTTCCTTTTCTGACGTATATAAAAAATTTCCGTAACGTAAATGTATATTATTATTATAAATTATTTATCAGTTACGAGGTCACAACCTTTCTACAAATTTAGAGCAGTCTTATATTTGAAAAACGGGAAATAAGGGTGAGGTATTCGATTTGGGCTTTTGAAAATATTAACTTATACCCGTCACTCGAATATTAATTTCGATTAATTTTTCATAGGAAAATATCTAAGGTGTATACAAATTTTCAATTTTTGCTAGTTATGAGGTTTCATAAATGTATTTTGACAACCACGTTTAATTGCAAGTTAAAATTAACAGAAAGGATGCGCTAAATTCATGAACATACTTGAAGTGTATAAATCATTTCTTTTGGCTCCTCTCATTTACGTCTAATGAAAGTAAGAGCACTTGTGCAGTATGAGAGTACCCACGCTAATTTTGACGATTAAAGTGCACTAACCTAATAGAGATCCACTGAGGCAATTACTGAAGTTTTAAAGGTTTTGTTCCCCACATCTTCATTTGTAAAAGAATTTATATTTCGTACGCAGCTTTCTGTTCATTTATTTAACCCGATTCAGGTGATACCTATGCTAAATTTGTTATACCTATTTACGCTGAATCGAATTCTGATCGTGAGATGGGGAGTATCTGAAGATGATCTACCACAACAAATTCTTCGGTTAGCAATTTCTTACGAATGGATTCAATAAAGTATTCGATACATTTCTTTTTTTTCGGTTTTTGTATCCACTATCCAATACTATTTTAAGCAAAGCCTATATAATTTTACGGGAGTTAGTACTGAACTCGGTTTGGTTTTAATTACCGAAAATTGCTCCTCTTTAGATTTGAAAATTATGGGCTTGTTAGACTATTCCACAAAAAATCTAATCTAATTAGGCCAAAGGCGGTTTATAACCATTTTTAATTTAACTCATCAGTTAATTACAAACAAATCAAATGCACGTTTGCCATGACAATGACCCTCATAATTGCACTGCTTGCCATTCGTCGAGATTTCTCGAAGCAAATAAAGAACTGACGTTTTCAATGCATGTAAATCAGCTGTTACCTAAATACAATTTGATCAGAAAAATAATTACGCGAGAGAAAGTTCACACTTTATTTCAGCACTTTTTTTTGAAAGTGCATAATTTTATTAGATGCGATTAAAGGTGCGTAAATGTCGACCTTAACGAAGGATAACACGTGTATAAATTAACATAAAAATTCTCACCTGATTAGCGGGCGCCTCGTTCCAAAAACTAAAAAAATACAATAATAGGTAAACATTTTTTTCCATGTCCGGCAGTGGCACTTTTTTTTAACAAGGAAAATTGAGTACTAGCACTTATGAATTATCGCGTATTTGTAAATACGTCTAACGAGCATTATTTATCAATTAATAATTCCGAGACGCACGGGAGCTAATGTACACATTGGAGGCTTTAATACTGACTATATACTGTACTATTTTAATATCAACAAAAGTAGAAGCCGACTGCACGTCAAGTTTACATCACAACAAACTTTACGTTATGAACTATCTATCTTTATTTACATTTTATTTGTATACATACAGATTTGACGTAAAAACTCCCACGAGCGCATTGTCTTTACTCGTTGCACGTGATGATTTTTTTCTAATTTATTATGCTACTCGTGCAATTTTATTTGCCAAACGCATAGGCTTTATCCTTGATCGGTTAAAAACCCTAAAAAATCGGCAATAAACAGGTCGCCAGAAAAGTAGGAGGACATTTCCATTTTAAAATAATTTTATGCAGAAATTTCGTCTAAAAGAAATTTTACGTGGTTCGTTTCGATTGTCCATCCCATCGCGTAACCTTTCCGAATTTTTTCGTGTAAATTATTTTTAGTTATGAATGTTGCTTCTAGAACGCTGACAGGTTTTCAATGTTCAAATTTTGTTAGCTATTTACGACTTGCTGTATCTAATTTTGACAGTTGAAGGCTGTTGGGCTATATTTTTTAAGAAAAAAGTCTCTGTTATGGAGCATAATCGCAACAGTAGGGAATATGGGTACCAAAGGACTTCTTGTTTTCAGCTCCTCGGAAAATTGGACAAAAGAATAACCCAACTCAGGGATGATTTTACAGTGTCAGTTTACTTTAATTATTGATTTAGGAAATGCGACTGAACAACTTGCAAATTTTTAACTAATTTTTAACTTCTTGATTTAATTTTGCGTTTATTTTGTCAGTACGAGACAAACTTTGTGCCCTTAAGTTGTTCAACTTTTAAAACGGAAGTTCATACCTCTTCTCGGCGGGATGCTACATAATTGAAAATCCTTTCCTACGCTAATTTTGTATTGTATTTGATTCCGTTATTTTTGCGGTGTGATATAAATCTGCTCTTATAGTTTTCATAGGTATAAAAACTGTCTAAAATGGAATTTCGCGGGCGTATATACTCGTAGTTGATCTTTTAAAAAAGAAAGTGTGTCTATAGCAAAACTGACTCACACCCAAATAATCTTTCCATACCATTGCATGATATTGTCAAAATCTAGTTACAAATGTTTTCCGGTGCAGTTTTGGAGTTCCATATCAAATTAAAGTTTGAGATGGGGTTGACCATGCTCATTGCACAGGGATCCTCTTTTTGTGATACTAATCTACAGGTTGTTCTTAAACAAAATTGAAAAAATTATATCGGCGAATGTAAAATTAAAAGTTGAGCACAATGCGTTAATCACAATTTGCGCTCTTTCAAATTAAATTATTATAATAATTCACTTGAGAATCGTTTGGCAAAAATCTGTATTAAATACAGTTCTCTTGGTAGATCTTTAATAATGTAGCGAGTATTTTATAAATTCCGATAGACATCAAGGCGCCATAAAAGATTAGTCATTGGCGGTAATAAACGAAAGCGTATGTGACACATTCCTTCCGGGAAATGTGACGTTTGTTGGAGAAATATTAGGCGTTCGAATGCGTTTGAGAAAGAGGGGCGTTTGCTATTAAACAAATCAGTCAGTTCCAGTTTCACAGCCGAAGTAATAAATAGTTCGAGCTGGTATAAATTGTTTATGTGTGAGTGATAAATAATATTTTAACTGTTATAAATCAATTCATTCAAAGACTGCTACACATTTTTGTTAGTTAATTGTAAATAAGTAAACCCCGTAATTAAATTTACGTTACAAGAATTTCTTCCATATCGCGATTTTCAGAGATTTTATATAAAGGAATACATGTTTAAGTTTTTTTGTTGTGCAGAAAAACTTTGTGCGTATAGTGGGTCGAATTGGTAAAATGTCTTGACTAAATTCAGGCACAAATAAAGACAGGACTAAAAAGGAAAGAATCCCGATGCTTCTTCAATGATTTTTAAGTTGAAACATATATCTTTTATTCCCTTTTATTCTTGACATATTTCAAGTTTGTTTATATAATTCTTCATAGGCTCTTCCACTACATTTTAAAGGTGTTAGTTCAGTTACTTTATTATTCCGACCTCGCTGTCGGGGCTCTCGTTTTTTATTATCAGCCTAATTGGTGCGATCCCTAGCGCCGACGATAAAGGGAAATCTAAGACCCTTCGGATCATAGTTCCGTTACCATAAAAGATAGCGAAAGAGTCTTAGAGCAAAGTTGTACACAATTACCGTCGTCATGTTTCTAAAATATTTTTGATCATCAGGGGGTGCTGTATTCCAGTGGCGTGGTAAACTTGGCGTTTATTTAACACCCCACATTTTATTGCAGATTTCGACAGGAGCGAACTGACCCGGAGGGGCGGGTGGCGGTTGCCACCTGGCCTGTAGATCATAATGGCCCGTTGGAAATTTATAAGTATGTGCTGTATTTAGTTTCTTGCACTATTAATAAATTATTAACACGTTTCTCTAATTGGGGTTGATATTAGGTTGTAAAAAATTCTGTTTTCTGTAATTGAAGTGTTTTACAATGAATTTATCATTTTTTGTCGTAGCATTAAAGTGCTGAAATACAATGATAGGCGACGCACCTCGTGTGGATTGTATATTTTGTTACTTTTAATTATCAGCTACAATTTAAAAAAAACTGTATGGTAATTTTCTAGTATAAGAAAATTTTTTCCTGGTCGATCTGAGACAATTTTTTCTTCGGGGCTCAAAAATGGCAGTGGATTACCTTCCTTTTTTTACCAAAAATCGACTACAATAAAAATTCTCGGGAAAACACTTTTTCTTATTAATTTGGGTGCGTAGAATCCAAATCAATCCGTACTTTTTCGATCAGACTTCTCAATCAAAAGTTATAGGCTAGAAACCAATTTCGAAAAAAAATTCAAAGGGCTGTAACTTTTGAACTAGTAGCCCAATCTTGGAACTGTTTGAAATTATGGATTTTACAGGCCACATTCTATAAGAAAATTTTTTTTCCGGGTCGATCTGAGACAATTTTTTTTCGGGGCTCAAAAAAAGGCAGTGTATAACCTTCCTTTTTACCAAAAATCGACTGCACCAAAATTTCTCGGGAAAACACTTTTTCTTATTAATTTTGGTGCGTAGAATCCAAAACAATTCGTACTTTTTCGATCAGACTTCTAAAAAAAAAGTTATAGACTAGAAACCAATTTCGAAAGAAAATTCAAAGGGCTGTAACTTTTGAACTAGTAGCCCAATCTTGGAACTGTTTGAAATTATGGATTCTAGAGGCCACATTCTATAAGAAAATTTTTTTTCCGGGTCGATCTGAGACATTTTTTTTCGGGGCTCAAAATTATTAACACGTTTCTCTAATTGGGGTTGATGTTAGGTTGTTAAAAAATTCTGTTTTAATTGAATTGTTTTAGAATGAATTTATCATTTTTTGTCGTAGCATGAAAGTGCTGAAATACAATGATAGGCGACGCACCTCGTGTGGATTGTATATTTATTTTGTTACTTTTAAGTATCAGCTGGAATTTAAAAAAAAACTGTATGGTAATTGATTTTCGAGAAAGGAGTACTGTTTTTGTGGTGTACCTCAGAGCTAACCCCCCCCCCTCCCCACCACCTACACTAATACTTTAATGGCCCGTAACCTATGCAATGCCACCTGGCCCTTAAGTACCCAGTCAGCCCCTGGATTTCGAAAGTAAACACTTCAAAAATACTTAAACATTCAGTTTCATATCCTCCGATAAAATTGGGGGTTGTTTACGGTGTCTTAGTGGATGGCATTTCAATAAGTACTAATTTAAAAGTGTTAAAAGTTTTTCTTCAATTGAATACATCGCACACGAACGGAAATAAAAATACGGAAGCTAAAGCAATAATATTCCAATTAATTAATATGACAGCAAAATTGATGCCCACAATACATGTGTTGGATGCAGAATTGATAAAGAATGCTGTCGTGGTACAACAGGTGATCCTGAAGATTTCGTCATTGGTATTGTCATCATCACTTTCTGAGTCAGATATCCTCAAAATAATTTTGGAGTTTTGTTCAAACGCCTGTGGAAGTGATGGACTAACACTTTTTATGATCAAGTGTTGCATTACAACCATCATACCTGTTATTATACTCACCTCATTGTATAGAACACTCTGTATACCCGCATGCAAATAAACCTACTATTGTTCATTCTTTGGGCAAAACATCTGACCCCCAACAATATTTTGACATGCGTCCTCTTTCCATCACATGTATCCTGTCAAGTGTTTCAAAAGGTTTTAAACTTGCAGCTGAAACTTCACGGAGAACAATTTGGTATTCTTCCCGAAAAACAATCTGGTTTCCGAAAGGGTTACGCGTGTGAAACAGTAGGTACTATTATCTGTAACTAATGACATTTTGACCAGTTACGATAAATAATAGAAAAATTACACTCTGATTTTGCTATATTTTTTTAAGGCAGTTCTTTTTTTACTAGTGTCGAAACCAGTTGCCACCTCGACGTGGACTACTCGTTTAAAAGTAACAATGCCCTCACACTCCTCAAGTTCTCACACCTGGATTGGAACTAAGTGAAGATCTACTTAAAAAAATTTTTAAATTTTGCTGCCGAGCATTCCCTCCTTGTAAATCCAATAAGAAATCAATACAGTGAGAGTTCAAAATTAAATAAGTATTAGCGAAATAATAATTGCAATCTAATATTCAAAAGAAACATAAGTTAATATACAACTTATAATAATTCAATCCTGGGAGCGGCGGAACTAACTAGCGGGCGGACGGACGGGCTCGAGCGCCACCATTTGGTCGAGGTCGGCACTCGGCAGGATTAGTGATTTGGTGGGACGGTTTCGGAAGCCTCGGGTCTAAACTCCATTGTAAACGGCAGCTCCAGTAATCGGTCGGTTTCAGAAAATGACGGCGGTCACTTCCGAAAAACTAAAATAAAATTACGGCAAACTCCCTAGGAGAATGAAAGCAACAAAACACAAATCGGCGGAAGCAGCGGAAGAGCAAATGCAAGAAAAATCAAAAGCTATAGTTTTGGTGCTGCAAAATCGAAAAGCAAAAAAATTAAACGATCTGACTACAATAGTTATTTACATAAAAGTCAGGATGTCAGATTACTTAATTTCCGAGTCAAGTAATGCCATTCCCGAAATTGTATTTTAATTTAAAATTTCAATTTTTGTATAGAACTTTTAATTAATGTCAATCTGTCAGTGATGACAGCAGTCATTTAGCAATGCCACAGATGCGGCCGGTAAAGTGACAGACGACAGGAAACTAAAATTTCCTCAGATAAAGTAGGCATGAAAATAAATAAATAAAATAAATTTACGGAAAATATCCAATTTTAATACGGTTGAAACACAAAAAACAAGCGATGCAAAAGTAAAAAAAAAGTTACGTTTCGGTTAACCACAAAATGTAAAAGATCGACGATTTCAATACGATACGGTTACAACAGTAAATTTATGGCAAAGCTCAAAATTGCGGTACTTACAAAACGTAGCTTGCGAAAAAACAAATGTAAAAAGATCATATTTCTCAGTGCGTCTTTTATTCTTCCTGATATTCAATCTGGTTTCAGACGAGGATATAGCCGATGACATCATGCGGAATACTGATGAAAGCGCCATCACTGCACTAATTTTGGTAGACTTCTCAAGGGCGTTTGATACAGTTAACCATAATCTTCTTTTAAAAATATTGCACTACATCGGTTTTGGGAATTCTGCAATACAATTACTTAAAAATTACCTCTTTGATCGGTATCAGAAAGTGGTCATAGATGGAGTCTCTTCGAACCTGGTAGCGGTAACTTGTGGTGTTCCTCAAGGATCAATACTCGGGCCACTACTATTTTCGATCTATACCCTTAATCTACAGTCCTCTTTAAAACTAGGCAGTATTCACATGTATGCTGATGATTGTCAAATATATTTTAAAATACTTCCTAAAGAAATTAGCACAGTTGCAGACTCTATTAACAAAGATATAGCCGCGTTTGTAAATACAGCAGAAGACCATTGTCTCAATGTGAATACCGCAAAAACACAGTTGATATTTTTCGGTACAAAGTCAAATCGAAATCTTGCCGAAGAAAAAATATCTATCCAATTTAAAGGTGATCGTTTGAAACCCTCGAATGTAGTAAAAAATCTTGGACTATACATGGACAACCAATTAAACTTCCAAACACATGTAAACTCAAAAATTCACAAATCATATAATAATCTGCGGCGTTTATATTCATATAGGCATGTGCTGCCACAAAACACAAAAGCGTTACTGTCTAATTCCTTAGTGCTGGCACCTTTAAATTACTGTGATGCCGTTTACGGACCATGCATAACTAAACAAACCTGTTATAAAATTCAAAAGGTCCAAAATAGCTGTTTACGTTTTATTTTTGGAATACGTAAATATGAAAGGATATCACACACCCTCAATAAATTAAAATGGCTGAACATGGAAAACCAAAGAAAACTGCATCGACTCGGACTTTATCATAACATATTAATCACGCATAAACCCCCATACTTGTTCGAAAATATTTCTTTTAGAACAGACGTCCATAATATAAATATTAGGAAAAAAAACTTTCTCACCATACCTCTCCATAAGACATCACAGTATAAAGGGTCGTTCTCCTACAATATTGCTAAAGATTATAATATGCTACCGGAACGTTTGAAAGCAATTAGAAACCCTGGAACTTTCAAGGTCATTCTCAAACAATACCTTTACAATTCTCTCTAACTTGAATGCCATTTGATGTCAGTGATTCGATAGTAGATAACACTTACCTACTTAAGTATGTAAATTACAAGCAGTATTAACTGGTTGAGTGGAAGAACAGCTCAAACAAAGTTCGTTAGTATGATCATTTAGAAAAAAGCTATGCTGAACTCCGCCACTTACTACCTTAATTGTTTGATACCTAAACTGTAATTTCTTTCTTCACCAAAACTTGCAATTGAGGTAATAATAAAGAGTATTATTATTATTATTATTATTTATCTAAACGTCCATTTCGAGTAGGGAGAACTGAAATTCGCATCTCGTACCATTATACCTTCGATACGTTCAAACAAATTAAAACTGTTTTTAATTAATTACGCCTTCCCCGACATCGGAAAAATCTGGGAGCGGTGTCAAACTTCAAGTTTTTTAAGTGCGCTCCTGGATGTTATCGGTGGTTGCTACCTGTAACTCATTCAAGTAATTACGGTTAATTATTACTTATCTAAATAGTCCGAATGAAATCTCCAAATTCTGTTGTCCAGCAATGCCCTTTTGTTCCTTGGAATGTGACGCCAAGCGGCGTTGTCACGTTGATATTTTCCTTAAACTGCACGACCTTGCCGGTTTCCATCCTGGACAGCCAATTAAACAAAATCAAATCGCACAAATCTCACTCCTTGAGTGCTAGAGCAAATAATAAAATTCAGACACTACAATTTCTTAGTAACGAAGCGCCCAATTTAAAACGTTTCTAGATACCTGGTGTCTCTCCAAATATACGGTGTGGTCATAACTTCGGGTATGAACTTCAAGGCGGAAAATAGGTAGCTTTGTTTCAGTATTTAATTAATACCGAGGAATTTCAGAAAATGTATAAATATGAAACCTAACTTCCACAGAAAATTCTAAACTTTCGCTTCCCCTTTACGAAAAAAAAAAAATTGTCAGGCGCATTGGTCGTAATGAATTACATTTCTGTTTCTGAATTTACCCTTAAACTTTTCGACACTTAATTACTTGTAACGCCACTAGTAGCCACTGACCTACCTTCGCGTATGCAGATTGCCGTCGTATTACTAACCTGTTTCGCGTATGCATCAAAACTGAGAACATGAGAACAATTTGCAGGGTTTTAATTTGAGCCCCACGTTGGGCGTCAATTTTGTAACGGCCCTTTATTTAAATAAAGTAGCATTTTGTTTATGATAATTTCGAATCATTTAATTTTATTCTATTGATTTTTAAATACGGTTAGCTCCATCGGTTCAATACTTTACCGCACGGTTCCGAAAAGATTAGATTATGATTCTGCTAATCCTTAAAGGTTGAGGCCATGTAACCTACTTACATAGCCAAGCCAGTCACTTTTCAATCCCATTGCCAATAATAAGAAAAAATCATTAAATTGTTGGACTATATTAAGCAAAAGTTTAATACATGTACAAAAATACACCACCATTTTTTTCAAATTGTTGAAATTTTGGGGTAATTTATTACCATAACAATTTTTTAAAATACACTATTGAAGGTTTTACTGAAGTCAACAGCCAAGATTTTTTCATGGAAATTTCTTTGCAGCCAGTGCGCTTAAAACTTGAAATAAAAAAGTCATGAACACTCAAAAGGATGCCTTCATGTTGGTATTTTGCTGCCTAATGTGTTTCTCTTTGTGTGCTACTGTCCAAAAACAAATAATCAAATTTACCAGAAGTTTGATCACACTGTTCAGATGAGTGTCTTCATTCCAATGCTGCGGTGTAAAAAAAACTAATGAAGTAAAATAGTAAACTAAAAAACTTTTGAGCCTCCTTTGGAGCATTTCAGAAGCAGCCATTTGATCCCTGAAACCGTTATAGAGGCGTTTCTCTCTTGTAACACAAAACTCATTTAAATTCCTATTCTGTGTGCCGGGTAGTCCATAAAGCAGCAGATCTGTAATTTGAGGACTTGTGTTTAGCTCCTAACGATATGGTAATATAATTCTAAGTATAAACAGTAGTTAAAATTCTTGAGAAATCTTGACAGCATACCTGTACCCGTTTTGTTAGTTTCCAATAGCGATAAACTACAAACAATGCTGGTAGCACCTGGATCGATTCTACATAATTTCTTTCGTCAATTAATTCAACTCAAAGGGCGGTATAACTTGGTGTTGTTTTAACGAACTACATACCTTTCCTGTAAATTTAACTGTTACCTATCCGATAGCTATGGGTATAATTTTTGATCAAAGAGATCCAACTGGTGATTACAAAGACGACCAAGCCTGATACATCTAAAGAAACACCATTCTCAAGTGTAATCTAAAGATCCCGTACGATTGGGATCATGACGCAATCTACACTCGCGTTATAAATAATAATATAACTATCAGTAATGACGGGGTTTTTAAACAAACTTGCCCGGAAGGTAAAATTTGATTTCATCATTAGTTTGTAATTTGCTAAGATACAGCATAGATTATCATAATTAATTACGAAGTCATGGTCTTCAAATTAGTATAAGTGTAGCCTATAACGTATTAAATGTAACAAAAAAATAATTGGCAGTGATTAGTAAAAAAAAAATGATTACAGTCGGCTTTTTTGCTATTGGCAATAATAAGGAAAATTGTAAACGTTTATTTAGTAATAATAAATGAGTAGTGATAAAAACGGATTAACCCATGAATCAGATTGAGTCGAACTTCTATTTAGGCAACATGCTTTGCAGTTTAAACATTCTTTTGTTATTTATTGTTGCTAATACTCTTCTCATTATGTTTTAAATAATCAAATGAGTAGAAGAAATTATCTTTATCTGAGGCAATATACCACAGGTTTCTTCTTGCCTACCTTGTTAGCTACATTATCTTCGAATTTTTTCTTGGTTTCTTGTATGTATCGTGTAACTGTCTCTTATAATTTTTTTACTTGGCATAGACCTACACTTTTTTCCTAAAAAAACGTGGTAAATTGAAAGAAGAGAGTATTAAAAGTGAAGGAAATTGTTTATTGGCACATATTGTTTACACTCGCATGAATATTCAGCTAAAAAGTAGATAGTTAAGTTATTCGAAAACTTGACAAATGTAGATAATAATTAGTATACGACTATTACACATATCACGAAAGCGCAGGAAACATACCAGAGCTACCAAATGTTCGTTTAATTTGCTACTTACTCCAAATTAATCATTCGAGTAATAGGACTACAAGGTACCTTAATCACCTGAGCCCAAATCTTCGTCTTGTAATCAATGGTAAATTCTCCCAGCAACGTTTTCTTCCCGACCAAATTCTTGCATTTCAACTTAATAACTATCTTCACGTCCTTCAAATCATTATTTTTAACAAACGTTTGTAAAACAGCTGTTTGCGGTTCTATTTTTAAGCTAATTGTTGGTTCGAAAGGATCGCTCTTCCATTTTGAAATTAGCACATCCTGTCTCGTCGATGTCATTTTAATGTAAAGAGAACCTGAAATCAATGGAATTTGTAATTCAATTGGACTATTTTTAGTTACATTTAATCTCTTTTTAAATTTTAAATACAAAACCAAATGCGTTTATACGCGTGGAAAAGTCGTTGCACAACTTCCGTTTAGGAAATTGCCATTTAAACAAGTTTTCTGCCGCATTCTTTCACTTTTTCCAATTAAACGTTTTTATGAATCAATTTCGCATGAGCAAGTGCATACACGATGACAATTGCAAATCAAGAAGTGCGCAACCCTCATGGGGTCTACATTTTGCATTTTCGTGACGTGCATTTGAGTGAAACAAAAATAAAAGTATAATTTAAGGAGACTAATTTTAAAATGTTTAATTACGGAAGCACGTCATTTTTAAGCAGGCACTTAAATGTGCTTCGTTTGATTTATATGACATACACTATTTTATTGCAGTAAAGTGAGCTAAAATTTTTATATTTTTACGTAAGCAGATGAGAAATGTTTTCGAATACGTTGACGTTACCAAAAGAGTGGTACGATTTGTGGTAGGCACTATTCCAACTATGCGAACTTGCAGTATGATCTGAAAACCGGCATAAGTTTGACAATTAAAGATTCGTGGGTTTCAGAATTCTTCAGGAGATCTCTGCTAGACTTTTTTTTCGCGATTTACATAGAATTTTTAAAATTTTTTCAGTGCTCAAATGCTTTTCTAGTATACTTAATCACAAATTGCTTTTTGGTCCCTAAATATTATTTCAGATTATTCAGGTGAAGAAACCTCTCATTTAAAATCCTGCAGATTTTTTTAAGTATTCTCCTATACACTGTTGCTTGTTTCAAAGCCTTTTAGTAGTACTTTGAGAAATATAATAACAAAATTGAGAGTATCTTTATAAATTGTTTATTAATTCTTTAGGCAATCTGATAACTTTTTTAGAGATTCTACACAAGTTCTTCTAATATTACGGCTAGACTCTTTAAAAATCCTTCAGATTACATCAAATGTGCTTTATAGAATTTCTTTTGAATGATTTTTCGACATTGCTGATGGATTTTTAAAGAACTGTCAACTTACGGGTGGTGATTGATTTGTTTACACCATCTTGCGATGGATAATTTTGAAAAATTGCACAAAATCTACTTACTTCGGTTTACTGAAATATACATTCGATATATTAGAATGAGAGGCGTTAATTTTAGGACCCTGTAACTATGCAATTTTTCTTGTTTAGTTTGAAATAATATTTATTTTAATAACATAAATCGAGCTTGTATAAATTACCGAAAAGAAAGTATCGGGTATAAAACTGTTAGTAGAATCAAAAAAGTTTAAAGTACCTTTTTTTTAATTTTTCAGTCAAATTGTGCCTGTTGAGTCAATGTTTCTCTTTTTATTCATCGCCATTTACATACGTTGTATAGTAAATAAATAAATAATAAAAAAGTAAATTGAGTATAAACTAATTAAATGCAGTATTTTATTTAAGCAAGGTTATTCAGAAATATTTAGAGAGCTTTCCAATTTTTCTTGTTTTTCTTTTTAAAAGTAATCCACAACCTTTTTTTGTAAACTGCAGAGTGAACTACCTCAAACAATTTTTGATCACCAGGGCGTGCTGTATCAAACATGTTTTTTTTAAATCTGAACACTCCATACTTTATTGCAGATTTGGAAAGTACCTATTTTTTTATATAACTCGTTATACCTTTAACTTTAACGACTTCGCTGTTATAAACTTTTTTTTTGAGAAACAAAATCGGGCCGGCGGTTAAGTTTTGAATTGAGGCATAGGCCAAGACTTCTTCCACTGTCACAAGTCACGCATTCCATAAGAAAATTTAATAGTAAAAACAAATTAAATCGTCAATTAATAGAAAAAAAACGCTCTTTTTCGAATTCAGGTCTGACATTTATTTTAAATTTAATTAAAAACGATATGGGTAACATGATTTTGTGATGATGTTTACTAAAAAAAGTGTTGGGGAGATACCTACAAAAAATGAAAATCACTACGATCCAGTTGAAATATGCAGCATAAACGTTGCAGGGTTGCAATTCGATTTGATACAACCCGTCAAATCAATCCGACAAACTTAAGAGATTGAATTCAACGCATTTTGGAATAGTGCCTTTAGTGCTCACTGATAGTGCTAGTTTTTCAAGTGCGCTCGTATTTGAAGATCCATTTCTATAACTTTTGACAGCACCTGAATCACGTCTTATAATTGCAAAGCTTAAAAGATAATTAAAAATCAGGAATCCAATTTGATCGCATAAAGAAAATTTGTTGTGTTTTTGGCCATTGACGAATCTTAAGCGCCTATTTAATTCATTAATTCAAAGTTCAAAATAATTGGGTTGGATTGCTAGGAATAAATGCAAAAAGGACAAGAAACGTAGGTACGCGTCAGAACATTTAAATGAAAGCATCTCAATATTCGGATATTTGCTTTTCAACCCTTTAGCAGATTTTTGTCTTCATGGCAATTAATTTAGTTGTCTATACTTTATCGCCATCAACATCAGATATATTTGGGACCCCTTTTTCAGAACTAATTTTTTTGAAAATCTTGCCTAGCTCATCAAGCGATAAATATAGAATTTGTGTATCAACTTAGTCAAGAAATTTTGATCATCAACGCTTACCACCATTTCTTTCATTCAAATTTTGATTGGAGCTCCACAAAACCTCGACATCACTCGACTTATGCGACATTGCTATACAGTATTTGCAGGGCGCCACTTACTGCATATTTTTTCAATCGCGCTATATACTCATTACTCGTACATACAATATATTATTATCAAATCAATACATAATTTAGCTCATAAATTAAGCTGTGTAATTTCACATTTCCAATCCATTTTTTCAGCATGAATGAAGGAATAGAATCGTTAGAAATGGGTTAAAATAACCATACTTAAATGAACGCATATAACGTTTGTTATTGGTTTCTAAAGTTTAAATGCACTACAAAATTTTCCAATAATAATTTATGCAAATCATATTTGTCACTTTATCATAAATGTTTTATTAATGAACTGTAAATTACTATTTATGTGACTTTCAATATGTGCCATTAATTTCTTTGAGTGCCTCGCCGATGCTTTATAATTAAAAGAAACATACAAAGCGGCACAATTAAGCTTTTTTTCCGAAATTGCTTTGAGCAAGTTATGACTAAACGCCACATAAATTCTATTTCAAAGTGTATGATAGAAACAGTTATTGATGTGTGTGTTGTAGGTGTGTCTACAGGGTGTATAAATCCGTTTATTAACTTTATTCAAGACCTGTTAAATGCAATGAAACTTAAAAATAGGTAAATGTACCTTTTTGTAGATTCGGGTGCAATATTGGACTGCCTTCGGGAACAAACTAGCTGGACAACATAACAACATAACTTGTTATGGGCTAAACATTCAAAAATTATTCATCCAAGTTTCGCAATTCTCTCAGCTCTACTGAAATCAACGTGGATATGTTGGCACCATACCGGGTGGCACAACGAAAACGAAACAGGCTGAATACCTAGTAAGGAAATACTTTTTCTTTGTAAAAAAAACGCAAAAAAGTCATTTTTGGTTGGATGGGGGACATCTTTTACTTAAAAATTTATACCCCTGGCGTCAATCCCCTAAGCAATGTTGCCACCTTTTCAATAATTTTAAATTGAACGTTGGGTCGAGTGACACAAATGACAAATAATTTAAATGGATGTTCCAGTTTTTTAAGTGAATGAACATTTATTTCCTTTTGTTTCCAGAGCCCCGGCCCACAAAATAATATAATCTTGAAGTTTAATGTTTCTTGTGCTACTTGATACCTAGTATGATCGCAAAAAATACTTACATTGTAGCGTAGCTCATTACAGAATTCCATGGTAATGTGGCGGGAAAATCTTTCTTAGTGTCGTTTGTTGATATCACTAACAGTATTTCCGTTCTCGAATCAAGCTTTAGTAGTACTTTCCATTACTTCGAACTCAATAGGTAAAACCGTCTGTATAGTATGAACCCTATTCTATATTTACGGGTATGTCTGCAATATACAGGGTTGTGATTTAATAACGGGTAAATAAAATTGAAATGGAGGCGTGTTCTGAAATACGCTTGCACCCGTCGATTGTGTTTTTAATTGTGCATATTTTGAGGCAAAATGTAGGAACACAGGGTGGAAGAAAAAATATTTTTTTAAATTTAAAATTTTAAAATCTCAATCATTATTTTAGCAAATTCTGGAGGTATCCGCCATTAACATTAACCGGTATAGGATATTTACATGAAACTGGAGAGTCCGAAAGTGCCATAATATACGGGTATTTCTATTTAAAGAAAAAACATTTTTTGTCACACTAAAGCAAATCAGCCATCAGGTACATCTCCCAAGAAAATTTTCTCTAGAGGGCATTTTACTTGACATCTAAAAGATAATTTTCAAATAAATTCACAGTGGAGAAATCGTCTAAAGAGAATATACGGAAAACTTGTTCTAGACGAATTCGAACCTTCATAAAATCTGTCAAGGAAAATTCCCCCAAAGTAACTATAATTTACAAAACGGCAACCTATTACATTTACTTCTTAAAAAGGTTTTCATTAAGGAAAATTTCTGTAAAATGCTTGTCATTTGAAAAATTGTAAAAAAAAATCACAGTAGAAATTATCTTACAAGAAATCGTGTTCATAGGAAAACTTGACAGGTGAATCCAAACCTTGAGAAAATTCTCTAACGGAAAATTCGCAACCTAAGTAACTGTAATTTGCAAAACACCTCACAAGTAAATTCACCTCTCAAGAAAATTTCCCTTCACATACTGGCGGCTTAAAGAATTTTTTTTCTAGTAGAAAATTAGCATACAAGAGATCGACTTAGGAAGAGAATGCTACATGGGTATTCCTCCCTGAGGAAATTCTCTACAGGAAAATTTGCGCTTTAAGTAACTTTAATTTGCAAACAAGCCCTCAGGTACGTTACTCTCAAAAAAATGTTACAAAAATCTATGTTTTCAAAACATTGATTCGGCAATTATTGGTCTCCTTTACCAATAACAATGAACCTGGCACGATAGAGAACCCGAGGAAATATACAGTGTGTCCTTCGACTGTTTAGTCGTCTCTTGTAAATAACAAAAAAATTGTCGAATTGAGCTTTGCGCTTCTACGAAGCAGCCCTGCTTAGCTGGAAACTAATTTGTGACGTAATTTTAGTTTGGAAAAATCAAAGGTACCTTTGAAATATTCAAAAAACGATTTCAAAATCCTAGGCCTAGTTTAATTACTTAAAAAACGGTCCAAAATAAAATTGTGTAGCAAATTTAAAGCCTATAGAAACACTTCGCCATTTTATTGAAAATATTTAATGTAGGTAAATTGAAGACAGCCCGGTATTTAACTATAGGATTGTCCTATATGTACGTAGGTATAGACTTAGACGCTTATGTATTCCGATTTCTGATACTGCATAATTTTGTTTCCTTTCATGAGCACTATACGTAGATAAATTTCCGACCTGTTATTGTGAGCCCTTGGTTCCTACGGATCCCGGTATTTGCATTAAGTAGCGCACTACAAGACTCTAAAAAGGGAAGATCGCAATTTTGTGTCATAACAGTAAGCCATTGTTTTTTTTCCAAGATACATATTTTCTATCATTTCTTTCAAGAACCATAATTAAAAAATATTTCGAAAAGTACCTATTCCCTCTTGTAAAGTTTTGATTGCGGCAAATAATTTTTTTAATACCTAATTATGTTACGGCAAGCATTTCTAACGTAACCTGTTACAGAAATAGTTTGATAATGGTTCATAATACAGACGATTACAATTTCAACGTAACTAATTTGGTTTAAATATGCGCGATTACCAATTCCTTAAGGTAATGGGGGAGCACTTATTAGCCGTTTACATTAACAAAGATTAATGAAGAGGTCGATAAATATAACCTTGTTTATAAAGACGTAAACTACGTTTTGTAAATAAACATTCTAGTTATTGCGCATAAAACTGCACTTAAAATTATTATTAGTCCTCATACCTTTAAGTTGCTCGTGTTCAGTCATTGTGCTCATGCTACATCTTAATCTAGACAACGATATTTCAAATAAATCATTATTTCCATCCTCACTGTTAGAGTAAACCAAAGTAACCTCGACCGAGCCCTTCTTGCTCTCCCTCTAAAATACACAGCTATTAACCCCATCGCGATTTGCAGTCACCTACGGATTCGACATCTAAACCACTGGAAATATCTTGTATCTCTCGCCAAATATCCGGGGTGCCGCAGAAGTTATTTTTTAGCTCCAAAGTGAACGTCTTGTATTCCAAATTGTAGGTAACCGCACCCACAGTTCTTCTATTAGTTAATGACATCCGATTACTGCTTCTCCTCCTCTCCCTTTTCTCCTCCTCATTTTCGCCAAATGAAAAGAATTTTTTTAATGATCTCTTCGATTTTGAGCCCACCGTGTTTTGCTGACTATTTAGCAGGGCATAAACTGTAAGTACGACGAATTTTCCTGTAAAAAAGCTCTCGAAGCTTCCACGCGAAGCGGTGGGTAACGTAAAGGTGAAGTCCTCATTGAATGTAGGCCATGAGTCCTTAACCAGCTGCGTTTCGAATTTTTCTCTTGCGGGAAAGACTCTGACCTAAATCCGGGGTTTATAATAACAATTATTACTCTAATTGACGCTTTACCTTCACGAGGTACCCTTCGGGACGAACATTTCCGTATAAGGGTGGCAGATGCCTGGCACCTATCACTTTCACTTTCAACTCCTTGGTGTCTTCATTATACGCGATTTTAAAACCAATTTGAGGCTTGCCGGCCGCATTCGCGCTATTAACTAAATTGGACGTTTTCAATGATAGCAAGTTTTTTATCTTCTTAATGTTTACCGACATTTTCTATTATACGTAAGAGCGAACTCATCGGAGTGCTAATTACACACGATGTTGTGGCTATAGCCGTATAAACGTTTTTAACGAGTGAGCATTCATGCTGCCACTTAACTCAATTTGTTCAAATTAGTGAGGTCGAGACACGGGAATTATTCTGCAACTTCAAATTCGTATGTGCAACACGTAATTATTATGGTACTGGTGTATTAAGTATGTCATCAGCTTGCTTTGATTGCGATTATGGGCCAATCTTATCTTTTTCTAGTTGATGACTACATGGGTAATCATTGCAGACTACAGTAATCTACGTGCCTTATTTATCAAGGCGAATAACTTAATAGGTGGATGTGGGCTTGGTCGACGTCTTTGTATTGTAAAGAGGGTGGCAATTGCTTTACAGTACAATTAAACTTATCAAGCCTTTTAATGCAGCACGTAGGTACTTACATTCTTTACATCCTTGATCAAAAATGGACATTCACGAAGACCCTATTTTTATGGGTGCGATGTTCATTAGGATTCTATTTCTGGAAAACCCTTATCTTGCGGAAAATGATGAAACATTAGGTAAATAGACTATTTTTGTACGCTTATCAACTTCGTTTTATCAGCGCCTGGAGCTATTGTCTACCTTCCCATAAAAGGTCCTGCTTTCTATAGGACCATTTTTCCTTCCATTTAAAGTAATCGACGCATCAAGCGATTTTCTTACTTACTGTACGTGATATTAATATTTCTTTTATTTTGATATCCTCTGCAAGAATTACTTGGGTATTAAAATATAAGTTTGATAAGTGGTCCGTTGAAAATAAACTTTAAATTAGCTCACCAACAACGGGTAAAGTTCACTTCTGGGCCACCCTGGCAAATCCTTCTGGACATTTTTTTGGTTCAGGTTCGAACAAAGATCTTTCTTAGCTCAGAGGTCAGACCAACAACAAATAATTACAGCGCGGACAAATAGGGCAAATTAAATATGCGTGATTTGGAATTTCAAAACAATCTGAGAATTGTTGAGATTCAAAAACTTTTTCTAAATACTTAACTCTGTTTTAACAATTTTTCAATTCAAGAAATTGAGAATTCCGAATGTTTCCCTTATAATTATGGCTTCTGAATGAGGATTCCAAAATCCTAATAATTTCAAGTTTCACGCCCATTTAAATCAAAAAACAAATAAACACGTTCTAACGCATTTTCGGCCAATATTATATGCCCTTTTATCACCACCGTTACCTCGTTGTAAACTACTGATATTTCTCAATTACTTAACTTCTATTATGTTTACACTTTGGCACCAGAACAAAGGTTCCAAGAAGTTAAGATGTCTTAAAAGCCTTTATTAGTCCTTAAAAACGTGTAAGACTTTAAGAGCATTTAAGAATAATTGGGGTGTATGAGAATCATAATCTTAGATCTTTCTGAAGAGCTTTAAAAACAAAATGTTTTCTTTCTAAGGGTTCCCATTGGTCACGGCAACCTTTTAGAAAGTGATTGAGTTTAAAGTGCTGTTAATAATCCTTCAAAGTTGTTACCTAGTATTCTGAGTTTTGTGGAACCTCTAAGACCTTTTAAGGGCATTAAGCAGCTTTGGAGTCTTTAAACAAAGAGTTGCAACTGGCCACCACTTTCTAACAGCGTCCAGAACCTCCAAGAGTTCTTTAAAAGTCTTCTTACGGCTTTCAGGGTTTTTATATAATTTGTTAAATGTCAACATAGGTCATGTGATACATACATCATTAAAAAGATTGTGTTTTCTCTTTCTTGCTATATTTATGTATGGTGTTAACCTAAAAAATAATACAGATAAATTAGAAAAATCTTTAGATAATGTATTATTACATTATAAAGGGTCACTATTAAAAGATGAGACGGTAAACTTCTGCTCATTGCTTTATGTTAATTTTTGACGTTCTGTTAGTTAGTTAGGTACTGTGCGATCAAAAATGAGTTGCTGTCGAGTCACCTTTGGAACTTTTGTTTACATGGGAAATCGTATTTAACTTGAACTTCCAAAGGCGACTCGACAGCAACTCATTTTTGATCGCCCGTTACCTATCTAAATTTCAAATGCAATATATTAGCCAGCCAAGTGTATGGAAAGGTTTTTCTATATAATTTTTATGCGTTATTATCTAATTTAACACCATACACGTTTAAGATAGAAAGAAAAAGAAAAAGAGAAAAGAGAAAAAAACGTATCACATCACCTATGTTGCCATTAAAAAATTCAAGATGGCGGACGCAGTCGAAAAACCATGTGCCAAAAGAATGTTTTTAACTTCAAAATACTTAAATGAAATAATTGATTTTAAATGGAAGCGTTCTACTTTTCTAGTCAATAGGTATGTACACCGGGTGAATACTTTCAAACCGAAATTAACATGGGAAAACAGTTTTTCGCAGCTTGTTACTCCCCCAATTAACTTAGAGGGTTCATAATGGCACCACTGGAAAGAAGATTTTTTATTCATCTAACTAAATGCGAATTAGTTAAGTTTTATTTGTATTTTCTCATAATTTTATCAAAAATTCGCAAAATAAAATGAACTTTGAAAATCATGTAGCCATGACCCGTAGATTTAAGCATCTTGAATTGTCAAATTGAAAAACTATCTGTCGTATTGTCGATATTGACGGAATTATAGAGGTTTGATTAAATTCCACGGAAAATAAATCTCGCACTCTGCGGTAACTATTACCGATGTAAACGTTTTTTTACAATAAACACTTTTTCCTCAATGGAATACATCGTAAGTTTTGTAGTAAGTACCTACAAATTAAAATTATTGACAGTTATCGTACCTTGTTTTCATGACTACCGTGATTTTTTAAACCAAGTACACATTTTGACTACCTAATTTCGCAAAATAATAATTAAACATGCAACTAGACGTTAATAATTTTATTTACATATCATAAAACGCGGAAAAAAATCTTCTTTCCAATGGTGGCATTATGAACTCTCTAAGTTAATTTTGGGAGCAACAATCTGCGAAAAACTGTTTTCCCATGTTAATTCCCTATGTTCGATTTGAAAGTATTCACCCAGTATATCAGACGGTTTGAACGTGAGAGCTTTGGTTTCATCTTTAATGGCGATCACATTTTCATCTTCATCCAAGTTTGTATTTGTACACTAAATTGTGTTTACAGGGAATCTGTGACATCATTAAATAAATTGTTTTTTTAACATTGGAATGTTTATTTTCTTGTATGAGTAGAAACAGGTTGTAAATCAGCATATGCATGATGAACCGCATTTTTGGTAATGCAGATCAGTATTTCATTAGGTAAAGTTTAAAATTATTGATCTCATGAGTGATCTAAATCAAAATAGACTGGAGCCGGCACATCTACACTATAACAGAAAGCTTTTAGTGAAAATTTACAGTCTCTAGCAATTGTGATCTCAGCCGGACAGCCAGCCAGCCATAATGGATTAAATAGCGTATTTTTTTCCAAAAATGCGTTAAAAATACAGGTTTCGTTCAAGGCCAAAAGACAACGGTGTCGCATAAAGTGAAGATTGTATCGTATTCGGCCATAATCGGTAGGTTAACGCAAAGTCGCGGATAGGTACTAGCGATACGGTACTTACTTAATACTTAATAGTGGTCAATTGTTAATTCCGATCTAAAATTTTCACACATTTCCTTTAATAGTAGGTATCACGAGCATGTTATGAAGCTTTTCGAGGTTCGAGTTATTTCTGTTCTACATATAACGTTATACGGTATCATTTCCAATGTCTCCAACGTCGCCAAACGGTTTCTACGAGTTCAAGGATCAGTGCTAATGAATATCAGCCAAATAAAAAGTCGTGTTTCCGTATGCGAGCCGAGTATCAAAAAGTTCCCCTACTAAAAATCGTAGGCGATTGTTCGTAATTTTGTTATAAACAGAGTTATTAGATATCGCCCAATTTTTTCGATCATTCGAAAGTTGTCGAAAACTTATCAAAATCTGTCCTCGTAGAGAGCTCGATGGGTCATGTAGGTTAAATCATGTAGTATCCTGTTGTCAAACAGGGCTGAAAAAAGGATCATACAGTTATAAAGCAATAAATAAAATGAAGTATATTATGAACATCTATTTGCGTTTTAAAATAAAAAGTCTTAACATGCTTTGCTGGAGTATAATCAGAAACTAAACAGCTAATAAAATAATTCTAGTCCTAAATTCAGAAGGTAACTGTCTCAAGTTATATAGGAAGCCTAAATCTTTTTGTTTTTATAATGAAAACCCCAAAAATTCCTCGCTGGAATATAACCAAGAACTAAATGATAAATTAATCTGTTTATAATAAACTACATTTGAACACAAATTAATCTAAAATTCAATACACAAGAATAGTTCACTTTTTTAGCCTATTAAAACTTTGAGATGATGCTGATTAAACAAAAATTGACTTCTTAACAATATAATTTGTTTGTTTACCAAAAAATACAAGTTAGTCTTTAATTTATACGTTGCATTTCTTTTTATTAATTCTGAAAATTGCCCTTTTTTAGTTAAAAACTGTTTAAATAACATATAAGTTGTTTAAACAATCAAAATCTAACTTTGATACAAATTAGTCTTTAATTCATATAGTTTTTGATGGAACTAATAAATTTTGAATCGGGAAAGGTGGCGGAACTAGCTTGATTTCAAGTTCACTGTAAAAATCGGGTTTCCGGCGGAACTAAGTGGGTATAAATTAGTCTTTAATTAGTCCTAAATTAGAGGGATATTTATCTTTGATTTGGGCAAAGTACGGGTGGCAACTTTATCGACCTCAAAATTAAGGTTTTTTTCTCAAGTACCTAATACAAAAGGTATAAGGAAACAAACCATATGTACTGGGTTTTTGCCACGTATTAAACACGTGTTCATTATTATTTTTTGTTTATTTTTGACATTATGTTAATTTAAAAGTATCCAAACGTAAAGTGCAATATATTAGCCAGCCAAATCGTACGGCATAGGTTTATCTAATTTTTCTGCAATATTTTCTAGTTTGACACCATGCATGAGGCATGATTAAGAAGAGAAAAAAAAGCTCTGTATAATGGCGTATCACATGACCTATGTTACCATTCAAAAAAATTCAAGATGGCGGTCGCACTTAAAAACCGTGGGTTAAAAAAATGTTAACCCCAAAATATGTGAATTAATTTCAAATGTGAGCGTTCTAATTTTTATGTGTGCAGTCGATACCTACTTTTCATCTGGAAAGTATTCCAAAGTTATTGGATTGTTTTCAGGTTGTTTGGGCGTACCTACACTAAGATGTCTATCCTAAGTTTACGACTTTAAGCAGAAATACTTACACAAAAAATGCACGTTGGAATTAATACAGATCTCTGAAATATGCGTAAAAAAACGATGCCTAAATGCCAAATACTGCACTATTTCGGTTTCTGGACTAAGTAGATGCACGCCCTTATGCCATATCCCCACTCTGTAAATACGGTAGAGTTTACAGAGGGCTTCTTTGAAAGGGATTTTCCTTACTAAAATGGGCGCATTTCGTTGACCCTGCTGAAGTTTTAACGAAAATTCTGAGGTATGTGCCAAATTTCATCTCTATCGGGATTTTGGGTACTTTGACTAAAGATTGAGTAGGTTTTAATAAGTGGGGATGATTTGAAAGCCCCTGAGGTTTTCGCAGATCCTCTAAAACCATCAGAGATCCCTCGAGATCGAAAAATTAGGCGAAAGTTGTGGTTTTTCTAAATTAAGTAATTACATACCTATCACGGATTTTACGTCAAATAATATCTTTCCTACATGCTAAATGGTTTTGCTAAAATTCCTTATCTTTCCTCGTAGAAGGGGAAACCATCGAATCGATAATATAGGAGGGAAATATTAAAAAAGTTCTGCAGTCCTGTTTCAAGGAAACTTGTTTAAGGTGGCGTTTACAAAAAGTGCAAAAGTTGCCTTGCGATTTCCTCAATAACTTTGTTTCGGGGTAAAAAATAAACTCCTGTTAACGACTGATGGTTGCTAAGGGTTTAAGCTTGTGAATGAAGTATATCAGTGTGTGATCTGATAAAAATGAAAGATATATAATTTATATGGGAGTTTTTTAACAACTTATTTCCTAAATAACGGCGAAAGTGCAGGAATTAGCTAAATAATCTTTGTTTCATGCAAATGTCGGAACGTTATATATTTGAATGAATGCTATTTCAACCAAAAATTTGTACCCAGAAGGGTCCAATTTCTCAATGTAAACGCCACCTTAAGAAGATGTATTTAAAACTAATGTTTCCTCTGTGCGCTCGATAATTCTCCTGGTAAGGTGTTATAAGAGTGTAAAGAAAGTTGCAACACGGCTAATGACGCCCATGTGTGTATTGTTTAGTAGGTGCAGAAGAGAGAACTGGTAAATAAATTTGTAACGTTGTGTGTTTTACAATTGATTATATTAAGTAAGGAAAAACTTTGACGTAATAAACACATCTTCAAAAACCATTGATAGAAATAAGGTTTATTCGATTTTTGCAGAATATTCGGGAATGCGCTATAAAATACTACAAAGTGATGTAATAAAAAATCAAAGAGTAGAAACCCTCTAAAAGTGCCTTTTAAGCCCTTCCCGAAGTAATGCTTTATAGATAGATGGAACGTTTTTACTTGCAATATCTGGACCGCATATATGTAGCAAAAAGATTCCATTTGACCAAGAGATCATAGATTCTGAAAACGTGTATTCCAAAAGCTTCATGATAAAAAGAAAATGAATTGTCTTTAATATTCCTTTGAAAATAGGTACTAAAATTATCAGAATTTGCGCTTACTTTGAGCCAAAGGAACAATTTGTATAACACACTAAACCACACTGTAAGAATACAGACCCTAAGATCCATTTACTTAAATAATTTAGGGGCACTAGATGTCATGAAAAAATTATGTGACTATAATGATATATTGGTTTTTATTGTTTTACGAAAATAATTAACAACAATGCATTAAATTAATACTACTAGGAGGTCTGATGCGGAGACACTACCCAAAGATATTTACAATTTGTTACCAATATCATTATCATTCTTTTCCTCATCAACTACAATGTTTATCTTTTGCACTGTTGGTTTAAAACTAACTGATTTCTTTTGATCCTTCAATTCGTCGACGTCCGTCTCCGATGGAGTGTCTTCGCGGGCCCTCTCATTGATCTTCTTTAATAGTTGCGCCGATAAACTGTCAACACCCCGTTGTAGATCTGGTTGAGGAACCACGTTATCTAACTTGTTTTCGTTGCTCTTTACCGATGGTTGAACGGAAGACCTTTCTGAATCTAAAAAATCGAAGTAACCGTTGTGTTCGTTACTATAACTGTCATCTTCGGGCGGTTGTGAGTTAAAACCAAATCCTGTTGACCGCGCTTTTGGCAGGACTTCGCTTGGGTTTCTACAAATATTTTAAAAACCTAAAGAGAAAATTGGCATTGTACTTACTCGTCTTCTACCGATTTTTTTGTCACGGTGTCTATGTGACTAAGATTGCGATAAGGTGCGCCACCTTTGCTAATTTTGCGTATTTTAAAGAAGTATAGCAAACCTATTCCAATTAGAAGTACAACCACTAGAACGCTAAGCACGGCTATTGCTGCTATGAATCCAGTGTTATTGACAGGTTCACTATCCGCTGAAGGGATCCATGACTCGACCACTATGTTTTCCATTCCACTCAGATTGCTACAATAACTTTGTTTAAAAGAGAGCATTGACAGACTTTAATACCTCTGAACTTTTTCCGTAGGTATGACTTCATTATTGGAGTCAAAGGCATATATAACAATACTGAGAGAGTGATCAGATTCACTTTTTGTAGCTCCAAACGTCAATAAATTCAGTATACTACGACCAGCGTCAAAGGGAGGATAAACAGTTGTAGTCTTTAGGTATCTAATCTTCATTTTAGACTTATCGGACAGTGACGATATGACCTCGTCAATATCCTCAAGTACCATCCCAGGCACGTTTAGTAGCGTTAACTGACCCTTGCTTAAAGGTACAACCTGAAACGTTCACCTAATCAAAGTATGGGACACTCTTTAAGACTTACCTGAATTCGAAGGATTGCAGATAGCGAATTATCCCCTCCAGCTCTATCTTTTGCAATGACTTCAAAAGTTACTGGTTTGTCATCAACCAATGCCGATTTGCCAGGGTATATCGTACCACTTAGGGGATGAACTATAAAGTTTGGACTGTTTGTGGAGTACCGAATCTCGGCATTTAGGGGACGACGATCTAGATCAGTTGCTTTCACTTGAACCAAATAGGGTGGGTGCAATTCGTGAACCAGTTTCTGAACAGGGTATCCCACCACCAAATTAGTTCCCTCTTTAAAAACGGGCGGATTATTGTTGATGTCGTTAATAATGACGGAAACCAAAAGCGAATCCGATTCGCGTCGAAGTTGAGTGGGGAGCAGTACCCATTGCCTGCTCTCTTCAGCTTTCACATTTAGCGCTCGTACAGATGTTAAGTTTCTGAGTGTAGGCGCCTTTTGGCGCAACTTTAGGTTCACGGTGAACTGGGGTACTAGGAGATTTTTTATTTGATCCATTTGTAGATTTATGCTTGAACTTTTTAGGTGACCATTTTCGACGGTGAACAGTGCTACAAATTGAAAGATTAATAGGTGGACTTTGTGTCTCTGCACTTACGTGGGTTAGTCTCTGGGTACTGATAGTCAAATTCGTAAGCGCAAGTTGACGTCGTTTTTTCACAGGGCAAAGTAATCACAGCTTCGGATAGCTCATCTATTTCTTTCACAATTACGGAATACATTGTAGCTGCTTCAGTGACAACGTTAATTACAACCTGAACAGTAAGGGTGAGTTTCAAGTGATACTCCACGTGGAGAAAAACTTACGTCTGTGACGTCGCCTACTTTACTTACAACCCCTTCAGCTTTTATTTGAAACTTGTAGGTGCCAATGGTGAGCTTCTCTTCTACCGTCAACCTTCCACTTGACTCACTTAGCTTGAGTTGCGTCGGAATCGTAGAACCTATTATTTAAAATAGAGTGATGGTCGCTTGGAATTATATTTAGTAGGTACCTTCTAATGGGTGCATTGTATATTTAACAGCCTCTTGCGTATTGGAATTCGCTCTCACGACACCCACAGTGATTGATGCGATAGGTGGAATTGTGAAAACGTAAGTTTTCTGTTCAAAACTTATGGTCGGCGTGGGTGGATCTGAAATAATTTTTTTTTGTAAATTTCGCAGATGAAATAAGATACAAAAGATGTGAGTATATGCCACGTTGATTCCATTGGCGTTTTAGTGTTTCGTAAAAAAAGTTACAAATGCAACTTACTTGGAGTAGTCGAACATGGGGGGCATTCGGTTGGAGTTCCACATGTGGTCGGACATTCTGGACCTGTACAGACGTCACATTAGCTCGATTCGCCCTCAAGCAAAGTACCTGCTGAAGTCACTACGATATTCGCGTAGGACTTCTATTTAAAACCCAGTCTAAGTACCCTCAAACTTGTACATAAATATTCATGTTTGCGCATTATTTGCATATTTAAACTCCGATTTTCCTTTTAAACACCTCGTTCTGCAGTTGAATTGAAATTTTTTTGGGGAAGGGGGAGGGGATTCGAGTCGAAATGTTTCCCAGATGGATAGTAGTTTTGGTTAGAATTTGAAGAATAGATTGTTTGATTGTGTCTTTATGTGTGTTTGATTTTCTGTGGGGCATTGTTCCGTAATCGCTTTAGGAAAACAGATAGTTCCATAGGGTCTTGGAGTTGTATCGTGTCGCACCTTCTGATGAGTACTGTTGGGTTACGAAGCGAAAAAACAGGTTAATAAAACAGAAAGCTTGGGGTTTTTGAAGTCATTTGGGATAGAGAACGAGTAAGATTTCAAAAACGATTGGCATTTCGGGCCGTTGTGACCAGTGCGTGACACCTAGTAAAAATTGAAAAATATTTGTGTTCCTAGTACAAGAACTTTGATAAATGTTGAACCGTATTCGATTCCGGGACGTCCGTCGCCACTACTGTTAGTCTTTGAATCGTGAAAGATAATTTGTTGTAAAGTTGGGGGTGGGGGTTGACTTCAGGAAATCTTTTAAAGTAACTCACACGCACGCCTGTAGGGAGATTGAATGCGAATCTTACCTGGTAAAGTAGACCATCCTGTTACTGGACATTCCGTACAAGGCTTACACGTTGTTGGGCATTCAGGGCCTAAAAGATTAATCATATCAGGCAACAATGCGAAGCAATGAGCTTTTCAACGGTTTCCTCCGGGTAATGAAAGTGTAAGGAGACTTACATGGTGAACTTGTTGAAGGGCACACCGTAGGGGGACACTCGGTACAAGGCTTGCACGTGGTGGACTCGGGATCTGACAAATGATAATATTTCCAGGTAAAAGCTTTGGATAATGCTGGGAAACAGAACTTACATCGTGAAGTGGATGATAATGCAGGGCACTCTGTAGCTGGACATTCAGTGCAGGGTTTACACGTTATTGGGCACTCCGGATCTAACAAATTAATTAAAAAAAAAAATTGAATCAACTTATTTTTGGAACGAACTGATTTTGTTTTCAATGTTGCTAGCGATGACAACACGTATTATAAGTAAAGAAAAATTCATTCAAATATTAATCTGTGAAATTGATTTTTTTCGAAAATTCCTCCACCTGCCTGCACACGGATCCTGGATTTAAGATTATGTAGGCATTAGGTTTAATTTTACCAGATGCAGTCACCATGGGTATTTTTGTATTGAAATGAGTATTGCGGTAAAATGTCCCCTCGCCCGTGGCAAAAAGCATTTGAAGTGCACTTTGTATTTCCATTCCACTTAAATTTTTTGAGAACCAAAATCATTAATTTTATACAGACAAAAGACATTAATCAGTAACAAATTAGACATGGCCGAGGATGCAATAAACTTTTACTGTAAATACCCACAACTTTCGTCGTATAACTAAAAGCCGCTGCATCAGCAAAATGGACATAGTGAATAAACTCGAGGATATATTTTCGAATAGTGAACCCATATAAATGTTCCGTAGTAAAACTTTCTTGTGGTTAATGAAAAAAAAAGGTTTGGACGTCTAGGATTTCGGATTCAAAAGATTATAAAAACAGTTATTTAGCGGAAATTCTCCTGGTTTTGTTAACATCGAAAAATGCAAAGATAGTGATTAAAATTAAAACACTTCGTAAAAGTTAATACATCCACTTGCTAGCCATCCAACAAATTCCGTGAATTTGAATATAAAATACTGAGCGGTTTTTTTGCTTAACATTTTTTGCGATTTTTCCATTGGAGTATGTGGAAGCAAAATTTCTAAGTTTAAAAAGAGTCACGGGTTTAGGAACATAACTCATAACAAGTTCAGGTTTTTATTTTGTCGATTGTACAAATAAGGGGGGGGGGGGGGGGTGATTTCAGGAAAACTTTTAAAGCAACTTCGCAGACTTACTTGGCATACGTACGGAGAGCATTCTAGCGGAGCTCACAAGCACGTCAGATATTCAACACAAAATTATCATGCAACTTATAAGTTTGCTTCGCACCAGAAAATGAAAGCGTTGCGTGTTCATCGTACTGCACGTCTGCAAGGAGTTTGAATGGGAATCTTACCTGGTGAAGTAGACGATTCTGATGTCACTAGACTAGTCTGATAGGTTGTTGATGAGGATGGAGGGCCTAAAAGATTAATCACATCAGGCGACAATGCGAAGCGATAAGTGGCTTCCTCTGGATAATGACTTACGTGGTGAACTTGTTGCAGGGCGCTCTGTAGAGGAACTCTCGGGATCTGGGAAATTATTTATATTTAATTATTTCCAGGTAAAAGCTTTGGATAATGATATTATGTTAGGAGAGACAGAACTTACATGTTGAAGTTGTTGATGATACTGCAGGACGCTCTGTAGTTGGACATACTGTGCACGGTTCACACGTTATAATTGGGCATTCCGGATCTAACAAATTGGGATGCAATAAACTTTTATTGTAAATACTCAAAACTTTCGTCATATGACCAAAAGCCGCTGCATCAGTAAAATGGACATAGTGAATAAACTAGCTTGAGGATCTGTTTTCGAATAATGAACCCATATTCCGTGGTAAAACTTTCTCGTGGTTAGTGAAAAAGAAAAGGTTTGAACGTTGGGGATTTCCGAACTTTCAAAAGATTATAAAAACAGTTATTTAGTGGAAATTCTTCTGGTTTTGTTAACATCGAAAAATGTGATTTGAATGTAAAATACTGAGCGGTTTTCTTTGCTTAAAATTTTTTGCGATTTTTCCATTGGAGTATGTGGAAGAAAAAATTCTAAGTTTAAAAAGAGTCAAGGTTTTAGGAACATAATTCATAACAAGTTCAGGTTTTTATTGTCGATTGTAATACGGAGAGCTTTTTTCCTTTTCTTATACGTTCAAAGTGAAGTAATTGTTCTAAATTTTATCTAGCGAAAAATTTAAATAGCGGCTTTGAGCTATAACTATTTAAATCAGCTTTCGGATATAACCGAACTTATAAAAAACAATAGTTTTCAAGGCGACCGTGGTGTCTATTTTTTTAACCAATTGGGGTTTTCTGAAATCATCATCTGCCCTAGTGGAAAAATTACGTGGTGGTTTGATTTAGGAGCCTTTTAAAAAAGTGAATATTAGTTCCGCGACACAGCGTAAATTATGTTGGTTTTCAGCATGCAATCCAATTGAAATCACCTGATAACTACCCCATAGTGATAATTCAACATAGTTATCCGTAAGAATTCCAGACCTTCCACGCCGAAGATAACATTGTAAACAAGAGGTTAGTCATATTTCCGTATTCTTGTGCCAATTTCAATCGACAGCTTTACGATCCGTTGCCACAAGTTAAATTTTGACTTTATAGTGTATCATTACGATTAAAAGTTTAAATGAGAAATCCTAACCTGAAGTAGTCTAGAACAATGTAAAATATCGTCATTAATGAGTATTATTATTAAAAAGAAGCTCCATTCTCCATTCTAATCAAACTTTCTCTTTCGGAATCAAAGGAATTTCATTAAATTTGACTGTGAAGGAAATCAAGTTCAGGTGTTGTTTATAACCTAATTTGTCACTGTAAAATCGAAAAATTTATGTGGGTTTGAAGTGTAAAGGTATTTCTGCAAATTATTCGCGATTCAACTTTAAACCATTGATCTATTTAGAGCTAAGAAAAGAGCCACCTCGAAGTAAATTTCAATTATTCCGAATTTGTGACAGGCAGAAGTTTAGTAAATAGAAATTTCAATGTAATAAAAGTAGATGCATCATTAAACCACCCTTAATATTTTTCTGATTTTTCATCAATATACTCGTACAAACATTTGTCACTTCGGTATTATTATTTTGCTGGACAATACAAAGCAAAGAACATTTGTAGCATATTTTCGGATAACGAAAGATCTCTTGTGTAAAACAGAGGAGTAAAAGAGATAATATTTAATAGGGTGATCCGCTCGTCGGAGGCATTTTTTAACAATTTTTATGATACAATCTCGTTGCAGTTTAGTGAACAAACAAAAGAAATTGTCAGCCCCTTATTTGCAACCGAGCTAGAGGTGCAATACTGACCTGTTCAGATTTCTGACATCATTTGAAAACTCAACTAAGAAGCCTTTCCACCGGCAAAAATCTACAATTCCGTTACCTACTGAAAATATCGTCATAGGAAGGTCACCTTCATTGCAAAATTTGTAGCATCTTCACCGACAAAAGGACAGTCGTATATAGGGTGTTTATTTTTGTAATTGTATAAAATGAAAGGTCGCAATATTTGATGAAAATTCTCGTTCATTTTATAGATTTTACTATTAATATTTCCTTTAAGCGATTTCGACCTTTTGGTAATTGAACCGCTTTGTTTTGTAAGTTTGCTCGAATTGAATTAAAATTTAAAATAAAAATCAGTTTTTTAAATAAAATTATGTTATTTTAATTTTAATTAAAGAAAGTCTCTAATTGAGTGAGTTGTGTGTAATCATCATGACAGATCTAAGTTGGTCACATTGAAATGTATATAGAGTCATTTGTGGGCACACTGCACACGATAAATAACCTATTTGTTATACAGTCGGGGGTGGGGGTTGATTTCAGGAAAACTTTTTAAACAACTTCGCAGACTTACTTGGCATACACACGGAGGGCATTCTAGCGGAGCTCACAAGCACGTCAGATATTCAACACAAAATTATCAATGCAACTTAAAAGTTTGCTTCGCACTAGAAAATAAAAGCGTTGCGCGTTCATCGTACTGCACCTCTGCAAGGAGTTTGAATGGGAATCTTACCTGGTGAAGTAGACCATTCTGATGTCACTAGACTCTCCGTACTAGTCTGATAAGTTGTTGATGGGGATGGAGGGCCTAAAAGATTAATCACATCAGGCGACAATGCGAAGCGATAAGTGGCTTCCTCTGGATAATGACTTACGTGGTGAACTTGTTGCAGGGCGCTCTGTAGAGGAACTCTCGGGATCTGGGAAATTATAAAATTTCCAGGTAAAAGCTTTGGATAATGATATTATGTTAGGAGAGACAGAACTTACCTGTTGAAGTTGTTGATGATACTGCAGGGCGCTCTGTAGTTGGACATGCAGTGCACGGTGCACACGTTGGGCATTCCGGATCTAACAAATTAGTCATGTATTATGAAATGCAAAAGCTAAGCGGTCGTTGGTACATTAGGAAAGCAAAATTTCGAGATTGTTCACATGAAATTTGTTGAAAGACGGCGGTTTTGCAAAGAGTCGGTAGACTAGAACTTACTTACTTTCAGTAGTTGAGCAAGGTGGACATTCCGTAGAGCAAGGTTTACCTGTAAAGAAAAGTCGCAAACTCAGGTGAAAAGCACGGAATTGTTACAAGCACTTACAAGTGGGGCACACGGCAATTGTTGTAGAGACTGATGGCTCAGTTGTGCACACGGGGCACTCGGTCGGTGTGACTGTCTCTGGGCATGTTGTCGGTGCTATACTGACATGGTTACCAAACATCTTGGCACTACGAAAACTTACCAGGCGTCGTTGTAACTTTCTTCGGCAAATAAACGACCAAAACAGTCCGGCCTGTGTCTTCCGCTTTATCAATCTTCGCTTCGAGGGTAAGCAACACAATGGCGTTTTCGTTCAAAACCTCATCAGGCAAATTAGTTTTCAAAGTTACTGCAACTCCATTACTTGTCGATTGTAGATCAAAGTGCTGTTTGTGCTCTGTTGGAATTGGACAGTTATTACCAGGTAAAATGTGATGGGTATATCACCTCCTTCTAAAGAGTAAGTGGTGACGTAATCATTGAGATTCAAGGTTATATCGGTATCAAATGTCACGCTGTGCGTGTCCTTTTCGTCATTGTACCTTGCGGTGTAGTACGCCAACTTAAATTGTGGATTCTTTGGTATTGACTGCTCCTGATTCACTTCTATTCGAAGTTGGGCCTCACTCCTCTTGGTCGGAGTACCAATATCCTAGTAAACGAAGGTGAATTGCTTTATAATTAACTGAGAATCTTACTGTAGCCGACAAAACGTAGTCTTTTAGCTCTGTTAGAGACAGTGGTTTTGCAGTTTTAACAACAGCTCTGTGGCATTTGTTACTGGTGTCAGTCGCTCCTTGCCAAATAATTGAAAAGTCTTCCGAAGGAGTAATGGCAAAAGTCACTTGAGTATTCGTGATATCTTGATCGCAAACGACGATGGGTACGTCAAACAAGCATGACATGTCAAAGTTAGCTGGTAGAGGCATCGGAAGACGGTAACTGTAGGAAGATTGTTGAAACTCGGGAGTATACGTGTTCAAATCATTTATGGGTTGGTAAAACGCCTAAAAATTAATTAAAGCGTTTGTGTTACACCAAGGATACACTACCAAAACTCCAGATCCGTTCGTACAACTGAAAATTAGACTAGCTATAATTTTGAACTGTCTATTACTATTTTCATTAATTTCGATATTTTTGAATTCCGCCGACGGGGAAATTATGACGGCGTTATCTTCAAGCTGAACCGAAAAGTACTTGTAGTTGTTTACCGTTGAAATCTTAACACCTACAAATACATTTAGTGACATCACCGTCTCTTTCCAATTGAACCACACCTTCCACATTGGTAGCTTTAAACCGTTTAAATTCCTTCGTCTCATCATCATTGACCTTCTGATTGGTGTACTCAGTTGACCAGTATCCAGCAGTGACCTCCTCCAGCTCGCAATTTCCTGTGGTTGCAATGCGTATATTACTGTACTATTTAAAGTAAGCTTACCATTCAGATCCGCGCCAGAACTTCCTAACAGACCAAATATTAGACACAGGAACAAGATATCCATATTTTTTAATTTAATTGTGCAACATGTTCCATTAGGTTAGTGAGTACATAAAAACGACGGACTGTTTTATCTAATCGATTTTCATTAGTTATCAGAAGTACAGATAAATGTCGAAAGTATGATTCAGTATTGCAATTTGCTATTGGATCACCGTTTATAGATAAGATAGAACAATGAGGAAAAAGTTTTCAGTTCAAATATAATCTGATTGAATATCTCTGGATGTGACGAACAGCGGTAGTTCTAAAGAGGAACACAGGTCTTGGCCAGAGTAGAGATGCAAATTTCTGTTTGTCAGTATTTAACTATTTTTTCATTCGAATTCCGGTCAAAAGTGATGGAGCCGAGCAAATTTAATTGATTCCTTATTAATTTCTGTATGTGTTAGCGATTCGGTTCAAACTTTACACACCCACAGTCGCGTACTAGCTAGGTCACATCTATTTCAATGTTGATCAGAATGACATATTTTATCGCAGCCTTCAAGAGTTTTCAACAAGTCGTTAGACCTTTAAAACCTTTAACAGATCTTAAAGATATTTTAAGAGTCTTTAAATGGTGTGAAATAACTTGACAGACTCATATTCCAGGGCGTCTTTCACTCAATAGCGCATCCAACATGAGGTAATCCAGTAGGGACTGTGATAAAGGACAACAACGAAATTTGGATACCCGGTGACCTTACGTCCAGATGCGTGCCTGGTTTCGTCGATCCAAAATATTTCAGTTACATTTTAAAAGTGTTTGGTAAGGTTGATATGGCGTAGGCATATTTACAGTTAAGGGTTGACGAAGAAGTCCTCATGGCTCAAACAATACTAACGCATCTGGGAACGTTTAAGTGTAAGAAATTACAGCTTGGGATCTGAGAAGCTCCACAAACGTTTCAACATCGTGTTGTTGGCATGCATACCTGGGGTTTTGCCATACTATGATGATATAATATATTGTGTTGGAACTTCAGACTGATTTAAAGCAAAACTTCGCGAAGAGTTTCAACCACTTTTCCAAGAAAAAAGGAATTTTCGTTTTATCAAAGTTGCATTCTTTGGAGCACCAGAGTCGTGATTTCACCAGGGGGAGAAAGATGAATGATCAAATTGAGGAAAAAATTAATACATGTTGCAGTTAGGGAGGGGGGGAGGGCACGGGCACCCTGGACGCTATTGCATTTAGACTTTACGACGAACCTGATTACTCCAGAGCATACACGACAGGTTCGAAATGGATCCCCTGAACTGTCTTTCAAGCCACAGGACCGTTGAGTCACAACGTTCAAACTCCAGATGGTAAAGTAATGAATCGGCACAGACGCAGATCAATTACGAGGTCGAACCAGCCAGAAAAGATCCGATAGGTGAGGCGAATTCCAGCGATACTGATTCTAGTCATATGACTCCAGAAGCCGTTGTGGAGACCACTAAGAAAACGTTGGACCACAGCGAGAGCCCTGTTTCAACATCAGCTGTAACGAGTGACTCGAATTCAAGACCGCCCAGGGTGCGTCGTAAACCGCACTATCTACAGGATTATTCTTGTTGATGTGGGTTACACCCAGGAGTGAGGAGTGTCGTGTACCAGGAAAAAAGTAAGTGTAAGAGCTGTTAAAAAAATATGTCACATTACATATCAATAATATTTGTTTATTATATAGGTCGATAAGGGATATTTTACCCATTAAGTAAATTAAACATCACTAGATGGTTAGTTTCCCTTTATCGTCGTGTATAATACAAAACTTTATTTTATAGCAGAAGTAAAGCTTCTGAATTTAATTTAAACGTCAAAAATAGAATTAGGTTCTGGCGTCGCGGTCGTTTCCAATAGAAACAGCATTGTCATATGTTCTGAACGTCATTTTATTTCGTGGTCTTTGTCCCATTTGAAATAAGAATGTCTGATGTCATTAGAATGCATCACTTTATCTACTCTCACAGTTAAAGAGCGCCAATTTAATATAAAATATTTGTGAGTATATACTACAAATTTACAAAGTTTTCAGTTTTCAGTTTTCAGTACGTAGAGTAATCCAAATGATTGAAATGAGCTGTGGAAATAAAAGACGCTAAATACTTCAGCTAGTATCGTATTAGGTAGAGCAGGTTCTAGTGAAAGATTATCGGGCCATCTTTTATTTTAAACAATACCGAGACAATACTGCACTTCATTCGGTTGATCTTTACGATATCCTTTTAATAACCTTTATGTTTGTAAGAGTTTTTAAGAATCCTTAAGAGCTCTTGGAATGGCGTACAGTTTCGAAGAATGTTCAAAAGCCTTCAGAGCCTTCTCAATGCTTTAGAGTCTTTGCGAGGTTTTTAGTGTTTATGAACCTTCAAGAGGTTTAAGAGAAAGTTTGAGTACCTTCTTGGGTTAGCGCCTTCTGGATTGCTTTAATTATTATGAGGGGCGAAACGTATAAATAAGTAAAAAACTAGTAGCTTCCTCTGGAGATACGTTATGGTCTTGAACGCACTTATACGTTCTGGAAAATCTTCAGGAGCTTTCTATCATCTCTACAGAGCATTCTGGATATTTACAGAACAGTATAGATCATTTTCAAAACCCTGTAGGTTCTTTCCCAAATTTTTTAGGTTCCTTTTCAGAGCATTCTAAGACGTTTTCGGGTATTTTACGCCTATTACTTATAGAACGAGTTAAACCCTTTATAGACCAGAACTTTCTAGACACCCATTTCTTCTAAAATGTTACATTTATCATTATCAGATATTTAGTTAGACAAGTAACCAATACTTACCCCAAAGATACATCGAAAATCGACGAAACGGTTACTTTTGTCACGATCAGGCATCAAAAGATAGACGAAAGGATCCGATATTTAGTCACTAGAAGAAATGAAAAATAGATCTCTCTGACTCTATGCCAAAAATCCGGAAGTTTCTTAGGGCTTCCGCGGAAAGTGATGGAGTTTTAAGCATTTTGACTGAAAATTTGGGGTGATAATAGACCAGAGAAACTGTGCCTAAAAGTTGTAAATTTATGCAAATAGTTCCTATCGAAATGTGGTGTTTGTTATAGTGTTAATAAAAGTAAGAAGAAAAATGTTTTGCAATATCACTTTTTCAAAATTGCCTAAGGGGTGCAAAAAATGTATTTATTAATATTATTTTTCTTTCACCCCACAAGTGAGAACAATAAAAAAATCTTTGGCATCAAATATGTCGGGAATATGGTAGTCGCGATCGGCTTGAACCTTTCTAAACAGAAAAACACTATCCGACAATGCCTAAGATGCCAAGAAACACATTCCTGATCTTACACCACTCGATTTCTTTTTTGGGGTTTCTAACATTAAACAACGATAAATGATTTTCGTATACTTGAAAAAACCACTGATATCACTAGGGATGTGCCTCAAAGGGCTCAAGCATTTCCCAAACTTCAAAGCTAGATAGGAATGATTGAAGCCGCAACGCAACGCACTTCGCGCAATTTTGTGTGTATGCACGTATCATAATTACCTTAATTAATAAGAACTAGGAAAGGTATGTTTGATGTGCCTCTTTGATTTTCAGATAATTTTTGGACACTCCTTCTTTTGCTCGCCTAAAATTCCAGCACCCTAAGCCTAATTTGTCGGTTAGCTAATTGAATACAAAATAATAGTGTTTTTATTCCGTGTCACGTAAAACATTTCCTTTGGGTAGGCAGCATAAAATACGCGAAACGTTAAATTGTCCAATGATACCAGTCTGTTTGAGCAGGCAACATATTATACACGGCAGTGACCAAAACAGCGAGTGCCCCACTATTATTCGGTGCTTGTGTTTGACACCAAAAAAAGTTCCTCTAAACTCGTCAAATTCTGCAATTTCCTGATATACCCCTAAAGCTTTCAATAATTTGTTTTTTAGTATCATTCAAGCTCGCTCGCTTCTCAGGATCGTCTGATTTTTCTAACATTCTCTTATTTTAAAATGCTTCCGCAAGTTTTCGGTAAATTCGCTGTCATGTCCTTTAAATTCCACTTATCCACCAACCAAATTCTTGTTAAGCTTCCACTAAATTCTTCAATTTGGCCCAATCACCTGAATATATTCGAACAAGCGCTCGCGTTGCATCAAAAGGGTTGAGTATGCTGAAATCGAGGTTCTTTTAGTATAAACACTGCTAATTAGGTGCTGTTCTTTGTTTCTTTAAAGAAACTCAGATACCAAATTCTGTAGGGATCAAAATTTTTTCACACTAAGTGCCATTTTTGCGGTTGAAATTTTGAGAGAATTAGAAAGAGCATAACCAAAAAGCTTCGTTCTCGATTTGTAGGCCTTATGATGATTGCTAAAAAAATTAACGAAAAACACAGCGTAGCTCGAAAACGAAACACTTTGAATTGTTGATTTATATGGAAAAAGTGCTCTTTTTGGTTCCCATTTATCCATGTCTTAAAAATCGTGACCTGTACATAACTTGGTAAAACATTCACTAAGAGCTTCGAAAGAATTTAATGGTAAGGGGTTTTGAAAATTCATTAGGTCAAAAATCAAAAATGAAAAAATGTTTATGAAATGCTAAAAATATAATCAAACGTCATAGGAATGTCCCAATAAATTTTTTCAATTTCTGTTTACTTTTCCAGAAGTAGGTTCGGCATAACAAAAATTACGGAATACGGCACCGAGCAAAGTACCAGCGGATGACAGAACAAGTGCCCGATTGCCCGCGTCACTGGTTTACTTTCACGTTTATTACCCAAGTTCCTATAAGCTTCTCTAAAGATTTCTTTAAATTCACTGCATGTTTCCCCTAGATTTTTTCTATTTCCTCCAAATCCCCCTCAAATTGCAAGATCCTTCACTGAGTTCCTTACACTCTGTTCATGTTCCGCCCATGCTTCTTTCAATTTGTAAACCTATGTCAAGTTCCTTTAAAGGGCTCTTGTCTGTTGTCAGATTCCTCTCACTCTTCACTTTTTTGAATTTTCATCGCATACGTCAGTTTCTGGAGCAGGGTAACCTTAAGCTAATACAGGGTGTAACATATAAATATGTAAAAAAATTGGGTGGCAGAGGAGATTAAAACAAGCATTTTTTTCTAAATAAACCGAGAGCCCAACGTGTTTCGTTTGGGAGCCACCCTCACCCAGTTTTTATAGCTTTTATGGTTCTGATAAAAAAATTTAAGAAGAAATGCTAATTTCACCACTTTTTTCAGGATGGCTCCTAAACGAAACACGTTGGAGCCTCGGTTTATTCGGAAAAAATTCTTGTTTTGATTCCCAATTTTTTTTTATATAAGACACTCTGTATAAGTACTTCGTCTCATTAAAGAAATTTTCACATTTTTCTGATCTTTAATGACAATAAAATCTTCTCTATGTCAAAACAAAATACTCCAATGATAGATATGGACACACACAAGGTGTCAACAGCATGAATAACTATTAAATCATTTCCCAGAGAACAATGATTGGAAATTATTACAAGTACTACCAAGTTTTTTCTGATTAGCTTTATCAAAGATAGGCTACGGGTGCGGCGTAAGTGTTGACGGTCGCACAGGAATTCGCGCCGATAGATTGATCATACTGGCCCACTGTCCATGACACAAACTGTCAAAATTCATACTTCGTATTTCGGCACCACCTAATTCGCCCGGTCCTTTACAAGTCGGCTGGGAATCCCACAGCTTATTCGAATTCTCGTTAATCCACCTTAATAAAGTGATTAGTTTCGATTACTGTATCTTTGAGGAGACCTACGTTGATAAGTATAAGGTATTACAATCGCAATGCCAAGGATTTTTCGTTAATTTAATTGCGGTTAGCTTTTGTAGATAGTCGAGCGATTTCATTGGTAGATATAGGAAACTGTTGCTATCCAAGCGCCTTAAAGGGAACTAGATCAATTTGGCTGAGTAATTTACACTTACAACTTCTCCAAATTGGGAACGTGACTGAATATCTTGGGATGAAGCCGTTTCAACAGGTTATTATTCAGAACTAAGGATGTAAGGTTACTTAATCCCCGGAAGCTATTTTCCCTTAGCTCCACAAACGTATTGGAAAACAGCACTAGCTTTTCCAACCTACGCGTCTGAAGAAAGAGGTTCTCTGGCAACTCGTACATGTAATTCTGCTGTAGGTGCAACTCCTTCAGGCTTCCCAAATCGAAAACTCCCTCGCTAATCTGTAACACAATCTCTCTGAAAAATGCGCGATATTATCAGCGGGATACCTTCACGATTTTGTTTGATGATAGTTCCAATACGGCTAGGTTTACCAAGTTAGAAAGTAGAACCGGCGATATCACAACAAGGTGATTTCTACGTAAGTTCAAATTTTCCAACGACTCCAAGTCTCTAAATGTGTCTGTAATGGGTATATAAACAATTGGGCTCTATCAAATCAATCACCTAGGTGAAGGTTTTCAATTTTGTTTTCCGCCAAATTCAGTCGCTTAACTTTCCAAAGGCCGTGGAAAATGGTTTCGTGTATGGCCTCCATTGAGTTCGAGCTGAGATCCAAATCTTCTAAGTGCTGCAGGTTGTTGAACAACCCTACCGGTAATATCTTCACCATGTTTCCTGATAGGTATAGAACTACTAAATTAGGGTTTCCTGAAAATAAGCGCGAGGGTAACGAATTGAGTTTGTTATACGATAAATCAAGCGTTCGCAGATTTTTTAAGTCTGTGAATATACCCTCGGAAACTTCTTGAAGGAAATTCTTGTGGACAGTCCTATAATTGCGCATATTATTACAAATTCGTTGCCATACTTAGCGTACAAGTATTGTATTTCCCATAACTGCTCGAAGATCTTGTCCGGGAGGTGATTGATCTTGTTATTGAATAAGTCCAACTGACTCAAGCGCGGTAGGTGCTTGAAGGAATCCTTATTTAACGTTGTTAGGAAATTGACACCCAAGTCCCTGATGGGCCGGAAAACTAAACAAAGTAAGCAACATGTTTTGTACTCACAGTGTTTGCAAATCTTGTGGAATAACTTGACCGAGAGGCAGTGCCATGACATGTTTGTTCCAGCACGATACACTTTTAGTTTCCGGCTTACATTTGCACGGTCCCTGAACACAATCATGCCAGCGGTCCTCTGAATTGGAAATGGGCCAAACTATAAACCTGTCACTATTTGCGTGTACAGAGCGGAAGGCACTCACCAGGTTGTTCCAAAGATCGCACTCTTCGTTCTAATTTAACAATTTCGTAACGTAAATCATTCTCGCTGTTATTTAGAATCGTCAGTTGTGCACCCAGAGCTCTTTGCATTGACTCCACAGCATCACACGCGTTGATTTGACAATAATCTGGATCGATCCATGCCCAAGTCGCGGAACAGAAGTAAATGGTTACTATAAGGCCTATCATGCTAATTGTGTTTGTTAGTTATGTACGTAATTATTAAACGACCAAGTTTATTTATACGGCAACATTCAATTGCTTTTATCCTGCAATTAAGTAATTCGTTGGAAAATTAATTTTACACGCTTTAATTAAGTGCGTCTTAAAAAGATTTTGATGATCTGTACAGTGCCATACCTACATAATGAAAAACGATATAGGGTACTAATGGCCAGTTGCACCGTTAAAATTAAGCATTGCTTAAAGTTAAGCATAACTTAAATGCCATAACAACGATTGTCTTAATAATCGTTGCCATAGATTTTAAGTTCTACTTAACTTTAAGAAAGGCTTAATTTTGTTGGTGCAACTGGGCATAAGATACAACAAATTCTCAGATCCAAAATTTCAAATTTTTAGAATAGGACTCCGACTGAACTGAATTGCAATGGAGCAAAAATATCCAGCTCAAAACCGAAAAAAGACAGCGAAACCCATCACAGGACTAGATCAAGCCATTGAATAAAAAATTAAATCAAGCACAAAAGTTTTTGTGTCTAATGACTGGGCAGCCTCCTCGGCTAAAACGCGGCCACTTGATCCAAGTGATTTCAAATAAATTGCTCCCTTATTCATTTTAGGAGTTCCATTCCCAAGAGTGTTAGGAAAAAGTAAACGGTGGCCAAGAGTTAGTTAAGTACCACAATCAAAATGAATGGGAGTAGCTAATTATGATTGGTGGATTTCAAAGGCGAAGCCGTTTTCGTATCCATTCTTTTACGAGTACGTTGGCCGATATTGATTAAAGTCTATGAAGGTTTCATTGCAAATTGTTAAGTGTAATAGTCTGTCGATTTCACATGTGTTTTGGGTAATTCTTGTATGGATGTAGAGAGAAACATTTTCTGTAGTTGGAAGGCTATAAATGGAATTCATTCAATACGTAAGTGGCAGCAATTTGTTGAACTATTCATTATCTTGTGCAAATATTTTAGGAATTCTGTTTGCTGTAATATTTTTATTTTCTAAATAGCTACCTTATTAATTAGAGGTACGTTGATTTTTGTGTTCAATGAGATGTTACATGCCAATTCTTTGTGGGGTTGAAGTTCTATCTTCAAATTTTAAGTTCGAAATTTTTTAAGTTTTAGTCTTGCGTTTCAATAGTTCGAGTGTAAATTTCAAATTCAACCCTACATCCACGTCAATTACAAGACCCAAGACACCTGATCTGCCAAACCACTGACATTTTGTGTGGATGTTGAACACGAAAGCAAGGTCATTTTTTTTGACAAAACGTCTCGCAAATCGATTCAAAGAGTATGGTTTCGGCAAAGAAATTCTAAAAAAATTGTAAAGTGCGTCACTCAAAATTAAATATCATTAATAATCATTTATACTCCTGTGTCTTAAAATAGGCAACTTGTTACCACAACAAGCAGGCATTTATTTAGTAAATAAAGTTTCTTTCTATCCTGTAATCAAATCTCCCAGTAGATAAGGAACTAGGTCATTGGGGTCAACTAGGATAAACGACTTACTTTGAAATTTAGTAGTTTTTGGATAGTTTCCTCTTCAAGGAATATTTCAACTACAGCTTCTTACCGATTTAAATGTCACTATATGTTCGTAATTCATTGTTGTCACCCATTGATCTCCTTCAGAAACCGTTGTGCTTTATTAACGTGATCGATCTTGAATTACAACTAGTAGTCGTACGCTCTTCAAACAGAAATTAATTAAATATTTACAGGGTCTGCGGTTTTTTTTCCGTCTGTTTTAGGCTGTTATCGTTCCTATAGTTTTATGCAGCGGCGAATACTCGTAGAGGTTCAGTTTTTATTCTGGTGGGATAATAGTCCAGTCAAACGGTAGTAGGAACTGGAATGTGTGATTGTTTATACTGGTTTACCGTATGTTTTTTGGTGGACTGAACGCCAACCTGAAGTTGTCCAACAAAAATTTCATCAAATAATCAAAAAGTCAATAAAAATAATGTTTCTTTAGAGGTTTTCAACTTGCAAAGTAATTTTTAGAAAGTAGAACAAAAATATATTATAGAAGTGCAACTTTCCCTTTAACAGAAAGGCGGCAGATCTAAAGTTAGCATATATTTTGCAAAAAGCATAAAATTGAATACCCAAAAGCGAGGGATAAAGACGAGAGTGCAACAAAAGATTGCGGTTGCCAGGATTTAAACGAATAAGATTTGCGAGGACTTGAATTTTACTGATATGTTTTATCACATATGTGCTTTTAGTCAAGTTAAAGGTGGCTTTGATAATATGATTGTTTCATGATTGCTGACACCTCAAGACGAACAGCTTCGGAATAAAAGCCGCAAAATCCCAAGACTGATACACCATCAATTACTTTTCGTAACCCAAACTTTTCATTTAAAAAAAGCTGACAGCCCAATTGGCAAGAGGGTAAGAAAAGAAGTTGGCCTATGTGAAATGGCTCAATCTTTTCTCTCCACTTGTTAGTGTTCCCCAATCTTTTTAAGAAAACTTTGGAACCTCAGGAACAAGACCTAATTCATTTTCGTTAAAGAAAGAAACTGGAGGAAGCGCATACGGTAGTGATCGTATCTCTTCAAGAATTACATTGGCCGCTGTCTCAACTATTAGAAGACGTTCTTTCCGTTCTGATGAACGTTTTTTAACGTACCACGCATCGGTCAAAATTTTATAGACAGTATGTTTAATACAATTGTTTTATCTTCCATCCCCAATCGATGTTGGATTCTCTTTGAGGTCTTTGTATTTGACCCATTGGAATATAGGTTAAGTGCGCAAGGTTTGAACTTTGCTCTGCCCCTTATTCAGTTAAAAGGAAAAATTGCACTTCTTTTATTTTTTGTTCCTTTTTCAAAAAATGACTAATTTCCCCAATATTTCTTGCGTGGAAACCATACACGACGTACAAAGTTAAGAAACCACTCAAAATCATTACACCTGAACTTTTCAGTTGGAGTACTTTTCGTGCACCATTTGACTAAACTATAACGTAAGCTTTCCGAAGTAGGCTCTTGCTCTTGATATTAATGTACACTGAATCGTGGAATGCCTGAACAGCACCATAAACTTTAGCCTGAATAATTAGTTTAATTAGCACCCTCAAGCACTCCTGAAAAGCTTTGAGAGCAGATTTTAAATTTATTATTTGCCCCTAATTCCACGAGATTTGCAAAGTACATAAGTTCGTCACTATATAATTTTGTACACAAACTAAAAGTTTAGTTTGAATTTACTCTCTCAAGGTCTGGAGTTGGTGGCTATCCAAATGCCAACTTCTCAAATGTGGATATGCCAGGCCAAGGAAAATCGGCGGCTAACACACGCTGAACGGTTGGAAAGGCAGATTACTCCTTTAAAATCCGCAAACTTTAACTTTTAGATTTGTCCGAGTTATGAGGGTCATGGTAGTGGACAGTGGTTCACTGCTTGATTCAGGGCACGGTTATTGGTAACGATAATTCTAGTAATTGAACAAGGCCTGTATAGGTAAAGGATACTAGGGCAACTAGAACGTACAAATGTACCTACATGCCAAAAGAATGCAAGAGTAATCAAATGTGCTAGTTTTATTGTAAATGTTCAAATGATGTTGTTTTATTACAACGAGTCTTCATCAGTATCATCCGGCAAAACAACAATTTAGCGGACCGATGCAATTGGCCGGCCATGGTCCAATTAGACAAGTTGTTAAGCACTTAGTTCCCACAATTGGTATACCTAAAAAAGTGCAAAATCCTCCCTCGGCTAAAAATTAAATAGATATATATTAACTTAAAATTGAAATCTACTTACTCCCCGCTGCTGCTTGTCCAAACACTTCTGAAACAAACGCCAGGGTAATTAAGACAAATATGAAAAACTTCATGATTACGTTATTAGTGCACGTTAACCACCCAACCCGCGATGAGACAATAAAAAGTCACCATTCTAGCGTGATTTATAGTTTTCGTTGTCCCATTTAGAAAGTATTTCATAATATTGATAGAGATAGCCACTCTTAACGTATTAGAAGGGTAAGGAAAATTACAAATACATCCAGATATACAGTCGATTTTAATAAAAATGATACCAAGGTAATTCGTGAGTGTGTATAAAGGGCCATAGCAAGTGTTAACTAACGGTGGTACCAATTTAACAGTTTTTTATATAAGAACTCGCAAAAGCTCTCTTGTTTCTAAAATCGATTTAACAGATCGATCGGAAAACAAATCTTTTGTTAAATTAGGTCATGTGGAGTACAAAAGGACAAGAAAAAGTACAGTTCCACGAGCAATTGCAATTCCACAGCACATGGAAAGATATGTCTACTAAACGCATCTGGGTGTTTGATATAGATTTTGACATACCTATACAATCCAAAATGGCAAAAATTTTCAAGACTAGACGACTGCACCGAAAGGTATGGGAAAATGTATCATCTCGTGCTTTTTCTCTTAGAAATTGGTTTTTGACCAATAAATTTTGATGTCCAAATATTTTTCGCAATTGTTCATAGGTTGCTCCTTGGGTTGCTCAGAGGTTTTTCACAAGAGATTCTAAAAGGGGGGCGGAAAACATTTATGTGTCACTAATGTAGCCTAAATGCAATTTTGCGGTTTGCATTTTTTCATAATCTTTTGGCTGGAAGGGCGAATAACTAATATTCTACAATTGTATGCTAATTTATTATCTAAAACTCAAATTACCTCCAAGATTGTGGTACATTCCTTATCTCCATGTTTCACCGTTGGTTTTTTAGCGTAACACAACGACGTTGCGGTAACGCTTATATGCTCAATTTTCCGTCGTCTGTCTGTCTGTTTCTTCGAGATCTCGAATCCTGGGACAGTTATAGACTTAAGGTTTTCGCTAACTAATATATATAATATAATATATAATATAACTAATAATGTCTATGGTCTATATTTGCTTGTTACTCATCATTTACAGTTGTGGTACGCGGCAACCCACACGAGTGGGTTTTGAAACATGTGTATACCATATCCTTGCCCTATATACAGCCTATTAATTTTTGCTGACCCAGTAAAGGCAAATTTGGAGTTCACACGGAGTCCAGTTTTGCCGGATCGGATTTTTATCGTGTACGAAGAACCAATCGGATGTTAAAGTGGGGTCGTATAGATTTTTACTTGTAGAAAAATTTCGAGATTTAGGGCCTGCAACAAAACTTCGGCCGAACAGCGCTTTTAAATTAAAAGTCGAGAGAGCAAAATAGTCTCAATGAAAATCAACATCTTGCGACTGCTACAAAGCCTGGTGCGAAAACTTAAGGAAAAGCAACGTGTATACCCTTGCATCTCCAGTCAATCAAGAAAAAAATTTCACAGATCGCTTTTGTAATAGATTTTTGTGTGTACAATTCAAAAAATGAAAATCGTCAAGATCGAACAACCACGAGTGCCACAAGAATTAAGTACCTACCAAAACCGAATTTAAAAAGCACAAAGCTCAAAGTTGGCAAATATCAATGGGGGAGCCTTTTCTAATAGATTTTGGACCACAATACCCGAAAATATTACAATCATACAAATCAATCCTTTCGAGCATACGCGTAGGGACCTTAAAAGGATCTTAAAATGCTCGAGAGACGGGGAGTCTTTCGTGCAAGGACTTTTTTGTGTTTTGTTTATTATATTAATTTTAGTTACACAATTTAGAGCGTTGATTATTTCGCGGTGACCAATCTGCTAAGGGAGAATTACTCACAAAGTATATATAAAAAGACCTGTTTTATATGAATTATCGGGGTGAAAGTTCTTACTATTCGTCACGATAACGGTACAGAAATTGTTTTAGTTGTTATGGGCGTTCGTAACATTCGGTATCTGCTGTAAAAATTTCGTGGTGTGGTGCGTAAGGTGGTGGATAAGGTGAGTTTACCCACTGAGTGCTTTATTCTTGTCTAATAAAAACGCTGCATATTTTAATTAAGAGGCAAATAAATCATTAGTTTAGCGGAAATTGCCACTAGTGATCAGCAGAAATTTTTCTTGACAAAAAGAAATTCGTCATTTGATTATGTGGTATTAATAATAAAATTATCGTTTTGCATTGTAGACATTGCAATTGTAATAATTATGCGTGTCCGGCGAACTTGTAACAAAACCACTCTAGAACCAGATGGACCGGTGTTTTCGGAATCGGGAATAGTGTTCTTTCTCATTTGGAAGTAAGGTTGATCCACGAAACTTGGGAAATGCTTCGTAATTTTTATTTTATTATTAACTGCAAATTGTACCGAGTTGTTAAGCGAGATGCCTAATGCTTTCTCCCAATCGGTTCGGCGCTTGCTCGCTCGATTGCTTCATGTCCATGCAAAGATAACGGATGGACCGATTACGATGACATTATGTAGGTTCGTGAATTGCATTAAATTCAAACTGGGGATAGCTTTAACGATATAATACGCAATATCAAAAGTTGAACCTAATCGATTCAATATTCACAGTGCCTTTTTAGCGCATTTTTGAAAATTTATATGTAAAAAATAATTTTCCCACGAGAATAGCAAACTACATAATCTACATTATAATTTTACAATATAAGCTAAAATTTCCGTTTGAATGTACTTTGCAGTCGTAAAAGAAAACTGTTACATGCGGAAATTTGCGAAAGATTGCGTCCAGTGGATCTTTTGTCAAAGTTTCACAGTACCAAAAATCTTCAGGAGAGGATACCCGAACACAACCCTCAAGCAAGGTCTGGAGTTGGTGGCTATCCAAACGACAAAACCTCTCAAATTAAATTAGTGCGTACATCAGATCCAGGAAAATTCGCCGCCAACTCAAAGTGAACGCTTAGAAAGGCAGGTTACTCATTTAAAATCCCCAACCTCTAACTTTCAGTCTTGTCCCAGTCATAAGGATCATGGCAGCGGTTTACTGCTTGATTCAGTACACGATTGTTGGTAAGAATAATTCGCCTGTAAAGGATGTACTAGGGCAACCTCAATCAAGTAGACAGTACACTTGTACATGTCAAAAAAATGGCAGTCAGCAAATGTAATTGTTTTATTGCAAATGTTCAAATAAGATTGTTTTACGACAAAGTGTCTCCAGTATCATCCGAAAAGACAACATTTTAGCGGATCGACGCAATTTCCCAGCGCCGGCATAAAGGCACAAGTTGCTAAGCACTTAGTTCCTATCATTGGTTTACTACCTGAAAAAAAGCAAAATCCTCCATCGGCTAAAAATGAATTATATAAGTAACATATTAACTTAAAATTGAAATGCACTTACTCCCTGGGGCTTGTCCAGACACTTCTAAAACAAACGCTGACAAACTTACGGTAATCAGGGCAGATATGAGAAGCTTCATGATTACGTAGCGCACGTTAACCGCTTAACGCCCGACGAAACAATCAAAAGTGATTAATTTAGCGTTTTTTTGCTACCCTGTTTTGAGAGCAGTATCTGCTAGTACCTCCAAATATATGTAGGGTCGTATATATAGCAACGTTTCACTAACGTATTGCGGCGCCGAATATAGGAGTCCTCAACCTAAATAAGGAAAATTACGATCTTTATCTTTATTGCGTAGACCATATCTGTGGACATTCATCAAATATAAAAATAATTAATATAAATTATAAATAGCATTTGGGTAGTAAATACATGAAAATATAAATGTACATTATAAAAGCTTGGAAGCCGGCCTTCCTCATTACTTACCTCTTTCATTGCAGACCTTCTGAACCGAAGGTCATATTCGGTTCAATGGATGCCGCACGTGGCATCTTGGTTAGGGTCGTGTTGTCCCTGGCGGGACTTGTTTTTGGATAAAGACATCATTTGAATATGCTAACACTAGAACATGCAAGAGAAGCCACTCTGACGATACCTAATCAAAAATTCCAAAGCATTCCAAACATTTGATATGCTATTGGCTATGCCCAGTTTCAATTTCATGAAATTCGATTAATAAATGACGGGAAGGCCAAATGGTGTGAGTTTATTGAATTTGAGTGGACTTACAGTTTTGAATTGCATATTATAATATGATACTGGCTATTCCCAGTTTGAAATTCATGCATTTCGGTTCATAAGTAAGGATATGTCTTTAAAAAATTACAATTGTCACCATCGGAAGACTGCAACGACAGTTAGAGAACTAAAACTGCATTCTACATTTAAAAAGAAGTGGGCCGAAAGCGATAGAAAAGGAGTTGTCTTAGCTCGACTCGGGAATGTCTTTTTTAGCAAATCAGTGTGGACTGTTTATAGTCTAGCGATCTCTCAATCCGCCCTACGGCTACGAAGCACCGCAGGGCTGACTCTGTATACCTTCCTAGGTAGTTATACGTCTTGGTTAGGGTGCAGCGGAAACTGTGTTAGCGCCTTCTCCCTTGCATATCTAGCGCACATTCTTTTAAGTGTCTTAAGAAGAAAAGACATGAAACTGATTGGGCGATAAGCTTTAGGTGTAGTCGATTTTGCAAGGTTTTGGGGATAAAGACAATTTTTATCTCCCTACATTGATAAGGTATGTTTTTAAAGCCTCACACCACGAGAAATCTTCCGGTAAGGTCACATCAATACAACCTTCAAGAGTATTACCGAAAAATGGAATGCACATATCAAAATAATGAAAGAGCCATTAAAATGTACTAATTTTATTCCAAATGTTCAAATTATGTTGTTTTATTACAACGTGTCTCCAGCATCATCCGCCCAAACAACATTTCAGCGGACCGTCGCAATTAGCCAGCGCTGGTAAAATGTAGCAAGTTTCTGCGCACTTAGTTCCTATAATTGCTACACCTGCAAATTTGCAAAAACCTCCCGCAGCTAAAAATTAATTATATAGATATATAGTAACTTAGAACTAATATCTACTTACTTCCTGGGGCTTGTCCAAACACTTCTGAAACAAACACCGCCAAACTTAGGAAAATCAACGCAGGAATGAAAAACTTCATATTTACTCAGCGCACGTTAACTGATGAGAAAAAGCGATCAACTTAGCGTGATTCCGCAATTTATAGTTTTTGATATACTTATTTGTACTTTGAGAGTTATATCTGGCAGTATAGATAAGCTTCGTGGAGATAGTCATGTTTCACGAATTAATTGGGCCACATGTAAAGGTACTCAATTTCGCGTGTGAACAGCTTGTATCAGATCGATTGGAATTTTTTATGCCAGTCTACGAAAACAGTACGAAAAATTCACAGATCTCGCACTTCATGTAAGTATCGCGAGGTGTGGAAAACAGACGTTAAACCAGAAGTAGGTCAACAAATGAATGGTGTTACAGATCAGTACTTTACTAGCAAAGTTCAAAACGACAAATCAATCCTTTTTTAAAAGCTTCCTTTATAAAATTCAAATAAAATTTGTCATTTTATCGATCCCACAAGTAATCTAACTCAAAATAAACTGCACATCAGCAGAATCGTTTAGTGAAAATTTGAAGTCTCTAAATATTGTAATTGCTGAGATCTCAGCCGGACCGCCAGTCCGCTATGGGATTATATGTTGGACAAATACAGATTTAGAACAAATACAGAGAAACTCCCGTGCACTATTAACAAAACACCATAACATCACCCCCACTGTACTATACGACGACACACTGTTTTCACCATGGGCAACACTTACCCATCATAACGTGAACTTAGACATGACTCGATTAACAAAAGGCGAAACCCCCACCTAGAACTGGAAGTGCAATGTTTGTAAACAGGGAACCATTTAGAGCCACAATTCTAGTGCCAACGTATACTCTGCGGAATTATACGCCATCTGACAAGCCCTCCTCGTGGTAGAATAAGCCCAAGCCATATGCACCGATTTTGTAACCTTGAACATTCATGTTTCTGGTAGATTAGAGCGAGAATTTTCGGAATCAGATCACAATATTACAAGGCATGCGAAAAACTACAACCCTCCTGTTTTTTCCACATTAAGATGAAAGTCATCTTGTCCATGACTTTTCAGGTAGTGGTTAAATCTTGAAAATTCTGTTCGTTTGGGTTTCTACAAACGAAGATCTATGAGAAAAGGCTTTTTCCGGTTGACTTAAGGCCATTTTGTAACAGATTTTATTAAGTGTCACACCGACAAGAATTTTTAAGATTGGACCACTACATCATAGGTTATAGTACTTTTCTTTTTCTTTGGAAATCGGTTTTGATGCCCCGTAAGATTTGATGTAGTGGCACAATCTGTAAAAGTCTGGTGGAGATTAACTCTACGTTGTGCAAGACCAATGATAAAAGTGCCTTTTTTGGGTTTTTCGCACTAAATTTTACTTTAGAGTTCCATAAGACGAAAATTGCTCGACAAAATAGCAACAAATTTTACTAAGAGGTCTTCTCTTTAACACGCGTTCTAGATTTTATTTTCGGACTTGAATTACTGTTGTAAAATTAAAAATTTAGAGGTAATTTTACTAACTACCAACCCAATTTGCCGTCCTCAAAGACTTTCCTCCGCGGGTAGTTTCATTTAGAAGGATATACATAAGATCTCTGTGCGTTATAAATATTTGGAAGTTCTTTCTTAGGTGTGATAATTGTGATCGCTATTTGTGCTAATTTGTGCACATTTGTAAAACAGTCAACTCTAATCTCAATTTACCTGCGGAGATAAATAGGATTTTTCAAAAGCTTTCATTTGATGTGTCACACAAGCTCTAAGTTTTTAAAATCGGGAGGGGATAAAGTAAGCAAAGAAAACAAATAAAAATCATCGTCAAATATATCCCTCTCGGTGGCGAAATTTCTTCTCCAATTATTACGGATGTACCATTTTAGATGGGCCACGCTGTAGGTAAGGATTCTATATGCGTGCGATTAAGTCTCTGCTTATCAATATTACAGTCTTACGGAGACGGTTATGTACTATATGCATTTATTCATAATTCATTTGCAAGTGAATGGTCAGTAAGTGCGGTTGTGTGCGTTTATTTCCACGTGGAAGATGATTACCTAGTCCTTTACGCAATATTGGGGGTGCGTAAACCTAAATTTTGGTATAGGGTGGGAGGAATTTATTTATTTATTTATTTACTTATCGCCCTTCCCTTGTTCACAGCCCTCAACACGTTGGCCTTGGAACGAAATACACGGGAGCGTCAAATACCGCGGTAAAATAAAGGACAGTTTATTTGTGAAGTTTGCCTTTAGCCCGTGGACTGAATTATTAGAGTGTCTTAATAAATTAGATTTGTTTATATATTTAATTAATTAAAATAATTTAGGGTTAGATTTTTAGGTGCGACATAACTGTACATGTTTGCTTTCTTTATGTTTCAATTAAAATAAATGTATTCTAGTTAACGTAATCTTTCACAATTGGAATTACAATGGTTACTCTTTACTAACAGGAGCAAAAGGTTTGAAATTCAGAGGTACACAGAATGATGAAAGTTTCATAATTCCTCTGGGCATAGTGGAGTATCAATTTCTGAAACAAATTTGGTCTAAATTTTGATTACAAGTTATTGACATTAACGAGATACCTGTGAAAACGAAATTAACCCCCTATTATTAACCCATTGATTTACCTGAGCTAATAAGTTTAATCGATCATTATTGATTTATCGGTGTCGCGGTGAACTAAGAGCGATACCACATTATAGGAGTTTTAAATCTCTTCGCACGCCAAGAAACGTAACCGCACGTGCAGTAATAACAATAATAAGCGCTAATTCCTTTTTGCAACTTCATTTCACCGATATCTAGTTCTTTATTTGTTAAATATCACACCCAAAAGTAATTAGTTTTTTTTTAAATTTAATTTTCTAACTGCAGACGATACATACACCTTCAAAAAACATTTGACGTGAAACGTTTTTAGGGAACGCGGCTACAATTACCTATTTAATAGGTCAAAATATCCCAAATTGTTTTTCTCACGATATCCTTGTACCTACTTGACTCTATACTTATCAAAAGATGAAGTTTAATATCCGTTGTTGGTTCCATCTTTATTATTATAAAGAAATTACGTTCAGTCTCAGATTATACTTGGGTAAGTATAAATCTATAGGTACCTATATCTAGGGACTACCACAGATTATTGTATTTAATCTGTGGTACTACAAAAGAATACTTTACAAGCAATAGGTAAGTATTTGTTGGTATAATTATGCTTTTGAATAACAATCTTAGATGCTCCCAAATTCTTCTTGGCAACGGGTTTAACGGCGTAGGAATCTCAATGGCTAAGGCCCCCAATGTACCAAGCAGTTGAAAAGACTTCGAAATTGCATTGAAATTGAAACTGTGGTATTATGGCAATATCCATAAAACCAAATATGTAGTACAAAAAGTAATATGTTATTATTGTGAAAATGGAACTAATTAGATACAAATTATCATTAGTATCTGGTAACATGATATAAAAACCTATGATATATCCTCAACACTTATCAGTGTAAGTAAGTTTATTTACTTCGTGTAGTACTTTGTCTTTTTGTGTTTGCAAATGAATATGGACTCCTACTGGAATGTCAGTAATATGCAAGGACGTGACATTTTGGGAAACGAATATGCTCCCAACGCTCAAGAAATTTTACATGACAGCATTACTACCAGAAATAATTGACCCACGGCAGTGCAGAAAGTTGCCAATTAGAAAAACGTTTCTCTAATATTCGTATCAATAAAGCATTACAGAAAATCAGAATAGACAGGTGTTCAGAATGGGAAAACCCTTACATCACGTTCATATATTAGCATATTTAATTATCTACTAAACTACTAAACTTACTAAGAGTTATTGTGAGTAGCATAAGTTATAATTTTGAATAGTTGGGGGAATATTTTGTATTTGTGTGATACGCTGTCCAATCGTATCTCTTATCCTCTCGATTTTATACGGGGAAAAATAGAAATTGAGTGGCGCTCAACCCCATTCGTAAGTGGTAACGAAGGACGAAGATCATATGCCCAAAACAAACTACCGCTGTGGAAGATCTCGAGCTTTCATTTTATTTCCCAACCCTGAGCTAGTTGGCCCATTATGCGGCATACGCAGAATAACTTTAAATCAATTCTAACTGGTCAATGATTACCCAAATGACTAACCAAAATTTCTACAACTTCCCGCATAAAATAGAAAAAAGGGCTTTAGCTAGTGTTTTCAGTATTAACTAGTACAATTATATAATTGAAGCTATTTTTTTAGTGAAAAGAATAAAAGTAAGTCTTCAAATTATCACCACGTATCTTCATTCAAAGTAAGTATTTAAGCTTTTTGAAAAAAAGTAACATTCAAGTTGGTTGGCAAATCGGATGGATCTTTAAATGAGCTACACTGATTAGTAGCGTTTAGGCTCTCTAATTAGTAGCTTTTAGGCTCTCGATCAACTTTTCAACTTTAGATTTGATACTCAAATAATTGTGCCCTAAACTCAAGTAGGTATTTAAAAAATTGTCTCCTGTTCGACAATTTGTTATGTTAAGGTGGGTGGGTTCATGGCCTAATATTTAGGCCATGGGTGCGTTATTCTTCTCGCAGCAATTAAGGTAGAAGTTGGTTAGATAAAATACTATTACTTGATTAAGAACCGTTTTTTTAAATGTAAAATAACACACCTCAAGGTTTTCAATATTTGGATTACCTTGTAGTTGTGGACATAGTTCTAATTTTGGTTGTTTTGCAAGACTATAGTATGTACTCTAGCTGTTTTTCGTAAAATAGTTTACATACTTATATGATTTACAACGTTCAAGATAAGAAACTGTATGGTCAAATACATTTGGGAAGGTTATCGCTTTTCGAATAAGCTTTTTTTCATTATACCTACCTTTGCGAAAGTGCTGTCCTCTCATGTATGCCAGGCGCACCGAAGGTAGGAGCTTTTTTCCGGTGCGCTACGAATAATCAAGTTTGCCAAAACAATTCGTACTTTTTCGATCAGACTACTCAATCAAAAGTTATAGACTAGAAACCAATTTCGAAAGAAAATTCAAAGGGCTGTAACTTTTGAACTAGTAGCCCAATCTTGGAACTGTTTGAAATTATGGATTCTACAGGCCACATTCTATAAGAAAATTTTTTTTCCGGGTCGATCTGAGACAATTTTTTTTTCGGGCCTCAAAAAAAGGCAGTGTAAACCTTCCTTTTTTACCAAAAATCGACTACACCAAAATTTCTCGGGAAAACACTTTTTCTTATTAATTTTGGTGCGTAGAATCCAAATCAATTCGTACTTTTTCGATCAGACTACTCAATCAAAAGTTATAGACTAGAAACCAATTTCGAAAGAAAATTCAGAGGGCTGTAATTTTTGAACTAGTAGCCCAATCTTGGAACTGCTTGAAATTATGGATTCTACAGGCCACATTCTATAAGAACATTTTTTCTCCGGGTCGATCTGAGACAATTTTTTTTGCGGGCCTCAAAAAAAGGCAGTGTAAAAACCTTCCTTTTTTACCAAAAATCGACTATACCAAAATATCTCGGGAAAACACTTTTTGTTATTAATTTTGGTGAGTAGAATCCAAAACAATTCGTACTTTTTCGATCAGACTTCTCAATCAAAAGTTATAGACTAAAAACCAATTTCGAAAAAAAATTCAAAGGGCTGTAACTTTTGAACTAGTGGCCCAATCTTGGAACTGTTTGAAATTATGGATTCTACAGGCCAAATTCAACTGATTTGATCTGATTTAGTTCACAAATATCTCGGCTCTTTTGGGATACATACTTACCCATCAAAAGATCTTTTTTAATCCGACTTCACTTTTTAGCCGGTCTCAAGCGGTACCTACCTTCATCGCTAGCTATCTAAAACGACGAAGACCGAAGGAACTAGTCAACTCTGCAATTCTCAACAAAGACCAACATTCTTAGGTAGGACAATGAAATCCTGTCTACACGTTTACTGGATAATCTTATTGTTGTAGGGATGAGTACTATTCACCATCACCACTTCGAATTCGGCGCTGTCATTATCATCATTCCGGTCCATCCGCCATCGAGGTTTACTGTTAAGGTAGCTACTAGTAGTCAATCAAAGTGACAATGGTGTTTCACTACTAGTAGCTTCAATTGAGAACAAAATATACGTATCAAGTTATTTATTTTTTAAGTTATCACTGTTACAGGAAGATCTTTGTAATACAAAAAAGAAACGTATTTCATTTGTTCATCTCTAGAATAATATTGTACTGCCCTAACTGCACTTTGCTGGTAGCTCGCACTAGTTCATCACACGACATAGTCTCTCCACCCCCCCCCCCCCAGCAAAAAAAACCAATGAAAACTGAAAGCAAACGAAATTTTTTTAATTAATAAGAGAAGCTATATTTAAACTTTATTAAAAATTTCCCAAATGTAACTATTGAAAAATACAATAAAAAAGTTTAAAAATTTTTTGTTTGTTTTGAAACAATCCTTTTTAAATCAAGGAAATTTTTTGAAATCCTTTTTGAATTCAAAAAACTTTTTTGAATCACTTTTTTGAATCACTCCTAACTTTTTTGAATCACTTTTTTTAATTTCTCTTAAAATCTCTTATAGGCTACTTGGATACTTGATGAAGCGACATTCACAAAATTTAAATGGGACTCCAAAAATTGCTTACCTTAAGGATGTAGCGGATTTGAAACGAATGCCAACCAAAGGGTAACTGTTGAGTGTTGGTAAGTTGTTTGGTCGCCCGATACCGCTTTGACGATTTCCTAAGATGGCATCGTTGCATCCTTCCTCTAGACGGAATGCGACCTCAAAGGGGTTTAGGCCTAGTTCCACTGATCTGTAGCTTCGCACCAAGTGACTGGTATTTTCCAGATTTCCAACATCCCGGTTTCACACCGATGGAAAATTAATCAATTATATATTCTGAAAAGAAATTGAGTTTTATTTTTGTAACACAAAAACTAGGTACCGTTGACGGCTGGAACACTCGTTGATGTCAGCGTCGGATTTGATGTGGTGAATAGTGCTCATATTTGCTACAATAAGATATTATTCAGTAAACGCATAGTCTGTGTTTCATTGGTCCTACCTGAATGAATGTTGCGCTTTGCTGACGATCTCTACAGGGTTGATAAGCGACCAAGGTCCGTGCTAATTCGTTGCAGTTTTGGAATAGTGCCATCGTTTGGATTGCTGGCGATGAGGTAGGTACTGCCTGAAGACCGCGTCTAAAAAGTAAAACCGAATTAAGAAATTTCCCAAGCTCAATCAGGTAGGTATCTACTTTTTGATGGGTAAGTATGTGTTCTGGAGTAGAGAAAGTATAAAAGAAAGACACAAAATGTAATCAAATCTTTCAAATCCAAATCCTAAGCAATCGATTAGTGGAACACGAAATTCGAAAACCTCTACCTTCGGAAAGTTTCATAATTTCGGATAGACAGACAGAATGTACTGATTTCTTTTGTTTTGCAGATTATTGCTCCCCATGTTAACTTAGAAGGTTTATAATGACATCAATCAAAAGAAGATTATTTGTGTGACTGTTATGCCTTAACATGATTTTGCTAATTGGATTTATTGCTGAATTTTGATAAAGTAAGGAGAAATATAACTGAAAATTCGTATTTATCGTTAGTTAACATGGGGAGCAACAATCTGCAAAACAAAACATTTTTCTCTATGTTCCGGTTTAGAATATAATTCACCCGGTATAACAAACTGGACGAGAACCTATACCTATTCTTATTTTATTGTTAAAAGGATGTGTTAACGTAAAGGTGGGATCTAGACAAGAAACATAGTACTGGAGCACCAGGGCTTTTATGAATTATGATGCGAGATTTAATTATATTGAGTGAAAATCTTACTTCTTATAATAACAATAACTTAAACAAAGGATGATAAAACTAATATTTGAAGCATTCACCGTTAAATTGAATACCCTTCTGCATCCTTTCGAACCACCGCGCAAAACTGTAAAGCCTGACATTTGAGTATTTGAAATCGTTTAAGCTTTTACCGCTTTCCAGCCAACCAGTACCAAAAGCAAAACGTAAGTAGGCTCGGTTTGGGAGAATATGGCGGATGGTCAACATTCTGAGCTGTCATAGATTCCGACCAAAACTTTTAAGGCCACAGCCTCTAAAGTTATACCCTTTCTCCCTTTTTCTTTAAAAATCGATTTTTTTGTCCGTTATATATAATAATATAGTGGTCCAATCTTAGAAATTCTGGTCGTTTTGGAGTAGTCGATTTTCGGTGAAATGCAAAGGCTACGAGAACAACCGTTACAGCCCCCTGAATTTTTTTTTGAAAATTCGTTTTTTGCCCATTACTGTCAAACCAGAGATCTAATCACTAATCAACAAAATACGAGACGTTTTGGATTCTTCGTATCAAAACGAATAAGAAAAAGCCTTTACTCGATAATTTTTGGAGTAGTCATTTTTTGGTAAAAAAAATCGATTGGCCTATTAGATCAAAAGTTACAGCCTCTTAATTTTTTTTGGAAAATTCGTTTTTTGCCCATAACTTTAGATCGAGAGGGTCAAAATACGAGACGTTTTGGATTGTGGTGCGAAGGGTGTAGCCTATAAATCTGGACGAAATTTTTTGTCAAGTGTAATTCCTAGATATTTCACTAACTCTGAAAATTGAAGGTATTCTTGAATAGCAGAGGAGTTCGAAGAAACTATACGGTAGTTCATTAAAAAAATGATCAAAGTCCTCGTGTGAGATCGAAGGGACTTCAGCGCATTTTTGTGTGGCAGTTCAGTGTTTTATTAGCCAATATTGACTCCACCATCAATAAGATCTTGCCGAAAGCTACCACGTTCACTTTGTCGGTACCATTTTCTCACTTACCGTGCACTCGCAATTCGCGTTTGAAGTTTTGACTCCACCATCAGTAAAATCCTTTGGGGGTTACCATATTCCCTTTGTCGACACCCACTTCTGATCACCCGCAACAATTAGGATTTGAAGTTTCGACTCCACCATCAGTAAGATCTCGTCGGGGGTTACCACATTCCCTTTGTCGATACACAGTTCCGACGTCCCGTTCATTCGTAATTTACATTTTGGTAGATTTCGCTAAAATCCCGGCATAAAATCGTATTCAACTTTTGGGTACTTCACATAGCTCGACCTTCTATTAGTGACACGAGAAAGAGAGACCGCGATTCGCGCTGTAAGAAACTTTTGGGCGCCCAAAGTCGACTACCCCTCGAAGCGCGCCGCGCAAAAGGTGGTTTATTTCGCCCCTAGGAAAAAAAAACAAAATTCCGCCACGCAGGAGTTGTGCGCGTTGACAAGATCTTCCCGACGACACCAATTTGAAAACAATCGGAGAAAAACTGTAGAAGAAGATAGATAAAAACTGAAAAATCTCCAGGTTAGTATAATACGCTCGGGGATGACGTCCAGATGTCGTCGTCTCCAAATCTTGTAGCCCCATCCCTAACGTTCTTAATTACACAGCCCCGATAGTTACATGTACACTCCTTGTCTTTTTACAAGCATTTTTCTACGGGCGCGCATTTACTGCCAGCCAGCCAGCCAGCCAGCCAGCCAAAGTGAGATTAAAAGCTACTTTTTACAAAAAAAAATTTTTGCAAAAATGCGCTAAAAACGTAACTATCATTCTCCACAACTTTGTGGTCGACCCTGTATATTTCAATTTATCTCAGATATGTAGATTTTTAACCGCCCTACAACTTTTTAAAGGTGTTTATAGTTTATGCTTATTTCGTGTAATTTTAGTGCGTTTAAATTAAAGTTAAAAAATTACCTTTTACTATTGACTCGTTCATGCGCCCACAGGACCAACATCTCGATATCTGCGACTTATGGTAATAAGAGACAGAGAAAGCTTCGATCTTTCAACTGTTCGTTAAATTTATCTGCTAAACAGGCTTCTTAATACATTTAGTATTTTGTGGTGAACATAGTGGCCAGTCTCATTCCCATCCTTTGATGATAATCAATTTTCATCACTATTAGGTTACCTCTAAAAAATAATTATGCCAGTTTTTGAAATGCATCAGCATAAATATTACAGTAATGTAGGCCTGTTTTTAAATTGCGGATTAAGCCCCGAAAAGAGAAGTCCTGTAAAACCGTTTGTACTATTTTATTTATTTTTTAATAAACACAAAAGCTTTTCAGCTCTTCCTTTTATGTGTAAGAATATATGTACCAAATTTGGTTCCAATCGGTTTAGACCCGGAAATGAGAGTATCGCCGGACCGATAGACAGGCAAACAGATAGACCGACATCATAGAGATTTTGTTTGATTCGAATTCCTGGTGCCTCAAAACGTGTATTTCTGTCAAAAAAAGTGGGGGGGGGGTCATTTTTTACCCCAACGCAATACCTCCCTTACTAACGTGCGAGCGGTGAAAATGCCTTCATGACCAGTTTGTAATAAGCACACATTTCAAGTAATTTACTGTTTAATTTTTCAAAAGTACACTATCAAATTTACTGAGCACAGCAACTAAAAAGTTAATTTAATTCCCATTAAAATATGCAATATGTATTCAAAAAAACTGATGCTTCTCTTAGTCTTAATATGCTAAAGAAATAAAATAATTAACAGGATATCATCATACATTCTATACTCTGTTTTTAAACTAAGAGGAGTAACTTGAAAAGTCTGATTTACATCCGAAAAAGTTACTAAATTTAGTAACTTTTGGGCAATTGTTTTAAGTATATGGATACATACGTACACATGTGCATTATGGGTTGCCTACTATATAAGGCATACATTATAAATGGTGTGTTGGATCATTTTTATGGTGTTTTAATACACTTGACTGCTACACATTTGACTTAAAGGAAATTTTATTTATTATAGTAGTTTTAGATTCCATAAGCCATAATCTATAATCATATAATCTATCAGTTTACACTCGTAGTTATAGGAGAAGACCCTATCGCGAAAATGGACAAGTTTTAAATCGATCGGTAAAAAACTTCCCCTTGTAGATTTTGGTCTGTAGAATCCAAACAACCAGAATTTTCAAGATTGTACCACTAGATCAGAAGTTACAGCCCGTTCCTTTTTCTTTAAATATCGATTTTTTTGGCACAAGTTTTGATGTAGTCGTCCATCTTCAAAACTCCGATCGATTTGGAGTCTACCTACAGATCAAACACCATAAAAAAATGAGAGCTTCATACTGATGATGTCAAGAACACTGGTAGTAACCCTTTCCCTGGCTACTTTTGGTATTTCTTATCACCTTACCAGAGCAGTCTTTATATTATGATTACATTAAAAACATATAGTTCGGGTAAAATCTTTCACCAAACTCGTTAGGAAAATTATTGGAGAGGAAATATTAAAGTACTGGGTTACCTTGGGGCCGAGTGCTTTATTTGCCGACAATCGTGTAAAGGTTTTTTTTGCCCATTTGAAGTTATGAATCATTAATATTGAACTAATCAATTTTTTGTTTTTCAATTGGCTGATTAACACTATCTATCTAATACTTCCCCTGATTTCGAAATATTGCATAATTTTCAAAATACTTTCCACCACAGTAGTGACAATCTAGCAGTTTTCCTTTTGCAGAGTCCTTCAATGCAAACAACATAATGGTAATCGGGTCTTATTTGACCAACTAAGAAAGAAATAAATATTCCATAAAATTAGGTATACTCTTGCTTACAACATAGTAGTTGTAGATAGCGCCAATATTGCGTATAAGTATACACAATTTTTAAGAGATATTTGCAAGTAGCGTGAACGCAATAGTAGAGTATAAAACGATCTTGGAACCTCGGCAACAGCAGTCTATTACGCCGCAAGGTAGTACATCCATCGCACGAACAATGAAGCTGCTAATTCTTGTTGTAATTTCCTTAGTCGTGTTTGTCGCACAATCTTCTGCACAAACCCCAAAACCGCAAACATCGGGAAGTAAGTTAATTCGTTTTTATAACTCTGATCTATTTAAATTTTAATTTTAGCCGAGGGTAACCCATGCTATCTATTTGGTGCTGTTGGATTACTAAATACTGTATGCAGAACACAATGTGTAATTGCTCCCGCGCTAGGACTCTGCATTAATGGGTTACTGTGCTGCTACAGTGCCTAGGATGAAGCAATCTGGTGCAATATTGGTTACCTAATGTAAAATGTCCAGTTCTGTGCAAATATAATATTTTAAGTATTGCAATTTTTAATTGATGTGCTGGTTAAAGTTTTTTGTTCTACCAATCCCAACCATCGTTAATTATTTCAACAAAATTTATGCGGTCAGCGTTTTACACGGTAGCTTTGCCTTATGCTAATTTAAGCAATGTAAGGTTATAGCCATTAAACAAGACTGAATTTGGTATTCACTTGCGGTATCGTAGCGCCGGAATATCCTGAACTCATCAATAGGGCAAACGAGCTATTGAAACTTGAATGATGCAGACCAAACTACATTTCCACCGCGGTTTAAAATTTTATTAGTGAATAATTGGAATTGGATTACCAAATAAAAATACTAAACGAAGTCTGACTTTTGAGCCTACTCACCCTACAAACCTTCACTTTATTAGTGAAATTCCACCACAAATTACATTTTATTGGGCGAATTAACTATCTAAATTTCGATATCCTACAATTTCCAATAATATTCAAAACCCAAACGGATCTACCCTTAAACTCAACACATTTACAAAGAAATTCGTGAAAAATGTATAAAAATAAACCCAAACTGGCCTCTATCTTTACAGATGACAGTTTCTCTTTAAATGTTATGTTTTAACTGTAATAATAAAAGATTGAAAAGTCTGACTTATAATTTGTTATCAATATTTCCTTTAAAAAATAATTGTCAGTCGAAAGCAGTTGAAATTTATTTTGTTAAAGATACGACACAACTCGCTGGGATGAAGTAAATAATAATGCAAGGGATCTTGGAGAAAACTGCGTTTATAATCGCCCCTTTTGGGTAAGGTGGTTTCGTCAGAGAGAGTCAAACTTTCTGTTTGCACAATATATATTAAAAATCAAAGAAAATTATTAATACGAAATTATATAAACTTCATTCGAAATTTAGAGTTGTTCGCTGCATCAACGTCCGCCGTACGTTAATTACACGGTTCGATTAGACTAAAAGCCCAACACTCGTGAAATACTTCTATTCAAACTAAAATACAACAGGCAATTTAAATAAATACACGTTTCTGTCTCTCCGTATCGACTGTTTACCTCAAACGTTCGCAAAGCACTGAAAATAAAATGTAATCCTACTCGCCCTACAGCATTCCGCATTTATTTTGATTGACGAAGTTTATTTTCCCTCACGCACAACTCATGGTTATTGTAAAATAAAGAAAACTTATACTTAACTGGTACTAACAATTAAAACCCTAAAAGAAATCAAAGATAACCCCTTTCCTTGATAACCTTAAAACTACATACCTCTTAAATAAGAGGGCTAATCATAGATGAAGCAGCACCCGAAACCTAAAGAAAGGTGATATGAATCCAATCCAACCGCCACAGATCAATATACGTGTGGATGAAGGCAATTAAAATTCCATGCGTTCTAACTCGCGCTTTAGCTATATGTTTAAACGAAGTGACTCGATACGGTTTACGACAGAAAGAGGAAGATGACGGTCGACAACCAAAAACCACGGCGCCAGCATTCTGCGCGGTTAAAATTGTGTTGTTATATTCCAACAATAGGATCAAAACGCTCCAACAGTTACGGGGATATTTCAACAAGTAATAAACCGTAAACAATTATAACGCTTTGTAATGAAGAAAATAAATCGTTACAATTCTTTGCCACATCGCGAATGGTCACGACTAGACGGACTACGAGGCTTTAAAAGGTGTTAATGTATACAACATGCATGATAACACATCACGGTTCCACAAGTAATAGGAAATCGTGACTTATTTCCAACAACGTTCACTATAAATAAGGAATTGTACTTTTAAATACCAGTAGACTATGAGATATGAATGCCTCCCGAGCGTTTATTTTTGCAACTTTATTTGCATTTATACTTTATACTGAAGCGGTAGATGACGACCCCAAAGAAACCAATGAAGACAAACCAAAACGTAAGTGTTGACATTTCGCATGTTCTACTGGTAATAAAAATTTCTAACAGCTACGAATACAGATAAGGAATCCAAAAAAGAAACCGGGCCAGGATGTAAGTGTTGCATTTGACATGGCTTATTTGTAACAGACTTTTTTGACAGATGAGAATAACAGTTGCGTTGGTTTCGGAGTTTCCCTCCTGGCTACACGATGTAAAAAAGTATGCAGTTATGGGATAGCGCCCTTAGCGCAATGCTACGAAGATGGTATCAAATGTTGCTGGTTTGAGTAAAAATGCAAAACTTTTGGGATATTAAAATTAGTTGCACAAAAATTGTTTGTTTGTCACATAGCGTCCTAAATGGTTCATTTTTGAAATCAATAGGTACAGTGTACCATACCCACTATCGGTACTTTCCTACGCCTATAAGTTTAAGGAGGCCGACGAAATGCAATTATTTCAAATAACAGCTTTCCCTTTTGCAATTAATGGTCGTATGTTATCAACAAAACAATTTCGATACCGAATTTTTAATTATGCAATAATTATTTTTTTGGTAAGAGTGGGATTTAAGAGCTCAGTGACTATAGGAGTATAATACCACTTGAGAATTGCATTCGCTTTACTATTCATTGCACAACCCTAGTAATATAAGTTTGATTTAGCCAAGAATCCAAATTGACGCACAGCCACTACCTACAACACAATTTGGAGCAAACAAAAAGATCTTCAAAAAAAGGATGATTTGTCTTATATCGAACAGAAAACGACCTTTTGTAATATATATTGTGATCTGTGAATCTGACCACCAAGAAAAGGCTACTAAAGGATTTTGACCCCCCACAACCTCCCCAATGCACAAAATCCACCATATTGTTTGGCATATGTCGCGATCCAGCGCAATGGCAACAAAAGTGGTGGAAATGCACCCCTGTCAGTTCCTTCCAGGGAAACATTCCCACGGCAGTTGACTAAATTCTTGGAGAGGCTGCTACGCCCGGCATATGCGAAGGTATTCAGAATCCAAAATATATGTGTAATTGAATTGTCAACCATATTACTTAACGATCCTGCAATAATCACGTGTGTTGCAATGGGGTACTGTACGGAACTGCCCCCCCCCCACCCTTTTGGTCTGTAAAAGTCTTTTTAGTTGCTGTTTTTGAGGTTTGCATATAAGCCAACAATGCCCAAACATCTAATCAGTGCATGGTTGAGACCAATTCATTTTCAGTTTTGGTTTGAAACGATTACCATTTTAATTTATCTTGGGTTACTTACATTTTATCATCCTCGAAATATTGTATACCTACAACAACCAATCAAACCAAAAGGTTCTATACATTATATTATATTTCTTCAAGGCATACAAAATTACAAAATATGATGAGGTAGAAAATATTCATAAGTAATAAAAACGACACACCGTTGAATTCAGGCCAACTGCTAATGAACAAACTGCTCCCTGTGGAGCATTAGCAGCAATTCATCGCGCTTCATTTTTAGTTGTTGTGGTACCTGTTATTATAATTGGCGTCGAAATTGTTTCAAATCCATCTTTTTCTTTTGTAGGTGGTGGTAGCATCTGCATTTCCTGCAGAGCAACTGAATCCTTCAATGAATCGGGTGATGGCACTTGCTCTTCCGGTAGTCTCATTGAGTACACGAGAAGAAGATACGATAGCACAAAAATTAAGTATTTCATTGTAGGTGCACGCGCAAGGAAGAACGCTGTTGACTATAGCATTGAGTGTATGGCAAACTGTAATTATATAGACTGGTTCATTAACAATATAAATGCAGCATGTAATAAATACACCCCGTTCTGTTTAAAGACAATTTGACATGTCAATTACAACAATTAGTTGCCTACTCCCACAACGTTTTGCTGTTATCATAATTATTAACCAGCCAACGCGGTGGCCATGTGCTTAATTCGAAATTCAGAGACAGATTAATTCAAATGCACATCCTATTAACGCAAAATTTGCAATAATTGTCTGGAATGGTAATTTGAAATGTTATTATCTCGGTGCCAAGGAATATACATTCCACTACACATTTGAGTTGCTAACTCGGGTTGCAGAGGGAATCAAAACAAACCAATTTTTAAATTTAAATGCAATGAAGGTCGCGAATAACATTTTCCCAAAATTGCTACCCCAAGGGGACGAGAAAAAATTCTTACTTCGACAAAATTTGGTATTTGGTGATCTTTTAAATTGAAAATGCTGAATTAGTCTTAAAAAAAAAGTCCGACTGCAATTCGCAGAGGCAGATTTTGGCTCTTGACCCCGGTTTTGCATTTTCATTCCAATACGTCATTATCGAAACCCCAATATCCATTCCAATATTTTATTTTATACTAAGTAGTGCTAATTTAAAATTTTGTGCTCATCACGTTAATGAGAAATTCCTTTTTTTCTGATGACACCCCACACTATAGTGTGTATTTACACAAATTTTTATTGCATTAATTTTGAGCTCATTTTGTGCTGATCGAGGGGTAAACCGCAACCCAAATTTTGTACACTGATTTCCTATAAATATTAGATTTCCTCTGAGTTCCTTCGAGTTCTTCAGAGTTCATTTGATTTCTTCGGAGTTTCCCTGATTTCCTCCGAGTTCCTCCAACTTCCACGGAAAACCTCTGATTTCCTTGGAGTTCCCTCGATTTTCTTTTGGAGTTCCTGTGAGTTCCTCTGATTTTTTAAAGTTTTTTAATTATTTCATTGTTATTCCGTTGATTTAACAATTTCCTGGTAAGTAAAACCCGAGGTAAAACCATAAAAAAAATATAAAAGTGTCAAATGTCAAGTTAAAAAGTAATCGTAAACGATTTACATAAAGCGCATTTCCACTTGCATTCATTTCCCATTTGTAAGATGCAACTTCTGTTAAAATCGTAAAAATCCGGCCACAAATATGAAAAATAGCGTTGCACATGGGCAATCCATTGTTGACGTGCTACTTCAATTTCAGTTTATGAGAAGAATTTCATTTCAATGCTTTTCTAAATAAGAAAGTTGGAGCTGCGCATGCGCAAACCTAAATTTTAAAACTAATGTTAGATTTTCCTTTGTTCCAAGCGCCTAAGTATCAAATTTCACTTAAATAGTTCCATAGATAAAAAAAGTTGGCACTGCGCATTCGCAAAATAAAATTTTGAAACTAGCGCTAGATTTTCCTTTATTCCAAGTGCCTATGTATCACATTTCATTTAAATTCTTCCATAAATAAAAAAGTTGGCACTGCGCATGCGCAAAGCCAAATTTTGAAATTGGCGTTTGATTTTCCTTTATCCCAAGTGCCTATGTATCAAATTTCGTTTAAATTCTTCCATAAATAAAAAAGTTGGCACTGCGCATAACCAAATTTTCAACTTGGCGTTTGATTTTCCTTTATTCGAAGTGCATATGTATCAAATTTCGTTTAAATTCTTCCATAAATAAAAAAGTTGGCACTGCGCATGCGCAAAACCAAATTTTAAAATTGGCGTTTGATTTTCCTTTATTCCAAGTGCCTATGTATCAAATTTCATTCAAATACTTTTATAAGTAAAAAAGTTTGCAATTCGGTTTATGGTCGAGATGCGAAAAGGGCACTGTGAATTTTGAATCGAGTCGATTCAACTTTTGGCATTGCGTATTATATGGCTAAATCTATGCCCATATTGAATTTCATGCAATTCAGTTCATAACTCACGGAGATGTAAAGCGATCGAACATTTCTAAACAAAGTTATCGTTCACACGGACAGATAGATGGACAGACAGACAAAGGAACAGACGGAGAGACCAACCGGCAGGCGACAGATTGCAATGCAAAATTATAAACGATCTCTAGGATCGTTAATAAACGGCAAAAGGGTACAATTATGGAACATGTAAAAAACGGTTTTTTGTTTTTTTTACAATAACTTTTTTTGTAAGCGGTACAGAAAAAATTCCTTCCTTGGTACAAGACTCGACACCATAACGAACCAAATAGTAGAACAATAGCTCTTAAGATAAAGAACTAGTAGCGTCGCAAAGTTAGCGGACGGGCGGACGGACGGACGGATAAAGACACGACCTTAGACGAAACACTATTTTATATTTTAATAGACCTATTTGCAATGAGAAAAACTCATTATTAAATGAGAAAAATACCATAAACAAATAAAAAAATTAGTTAAGACCAAATTAAATAATAAAATGCAGCACGAGTTCCCTTGATTTCCTCGGAGTTCCTGTGATTTCCTTGGAATTCCTCCTGAATACACATGGAATTCCTTGGAATTCCTTGGAATTCTTAGCTTTCCTAGGAGTTCCCCCGGAATTCCTATGATTTCCCATAGATTTCCTCAAACGTGTACACTGATTTCCCATCGCGGTTTACCCCTCGGTGCTGATTTAAAGTTATGTGCGAGTCACGTTATTTTTTGGGATATGGCTCCAAAATTTTATTTTATTTAAGTGCTAATTGTCCTGCTAATCTCACAATGAGCAATTCAGATTTTTCGCATGATTGTTCAACATTGATAACAACATTTGCCTTCACTCTAATTGTGCTGCTAATTTAAAGTTTTGTGTTTATTAAGTTAATTTTGTTAAAATTTTGGATATGTATCGCTGAGTGCAATGGTATGCGGTCACTTTGATCCCAGACTTTACGTACACGGTGCATAATCGACCAAAAATGGTAGGTACATTATATTATATGAAGAACCTTTTTTGGAACAATGTTGTTACAGAACTAGGTGGATATAGCCTTCCTTCGGTGACAATGTACTCTAAACGCTACCGACGGACGATGTGTATGGAATTCTAGATTTTTGCGGCAAGCTTCTTTGTCGAAATTACGAATAATGCAAACAGATAGAAACGTAGTTGCTTTCTGAGATATGTACTAGAATGTCCTTGTTTAATTGTTCATCACTTCTTTTGGATTTTTCGCAATATTTGCGTGAAATTTATGTTCCGTATACGACTACTGATGGCGGTGAATATTCACAATACGAACTTGGTTCAAATGTTATTACGGATTCCGCACTTATAACTGCAGCGTTCGGCACACGAAAATGTTCCCAAATTTTACTAGAAAATTACGCGATACTATTTCCTATATTGCGGTCAAGACAAGATACGAATTATTTAACTTTTCAAAAATGGAACCTAACTGGTCGCTTCAAAAGCTTAAACGCGAAACCTAAACTCTGGTCTTTATTGTGTCGTGACCAAAACGCGAATCGAAATTGTTATATGGACCATGTTACAACCATTTTCGCCTCAAGATTGAGATTAACAAAGAGCCATTAAAATTGAAATGATACCGAAAAGACGGACTTCAGTTCCCCCACGGTTTCAAAGTGTATTACTAAAAGTCCACCACAAATGACACTTTTCAAACAAATTAACCATTTAAATTTCGATACCCTACAAATTCCAATAATATTTCAAGCTCAAACTGATCCACTCTTAAACTTAAAATATCTCACATTTAGAGTGAAATTTTGAACAAATCAAAAAATTGAAATCCAAAATTACATCTACAGTTACAAACAGGTTTTTCGACTAAAACAAAGATTAGAAATGTTTCATTGGGAAACTGCCCTTACAATGTTTCCAAAATTGCATTTCTTCTTCATTTTTTTTTCGAAAACCATAAAACGCATCAAGAAGGATTGTATCCTAGGTCTTTGAGTGAGATATTGGATATGCCCTTTCTGATTTTGTAATTTTTTTTTAAATTTCTACCTAAAGATAATACTTACCGAATCTTCAATTACTTCTGGAAATTTGAAAAAATATCTGATCGCCATTGAATATGGCTTTCCTCCTCCTCTCATACTTTTATTTTGATGTAAAGGGAGAGATGAGATGAAATGAGTTTAATTAACATTAACCGTGGAAATTTTTGTTGTGCTAATTGTTTCTCAATTGCGCTGTGATATAAACTATTTGTGCTCAGGCACCCCAAAACAAATACCAACTCCATATTGCCAAAAGTACCTGTAGGTATTTGCATAAAAATATACTCATATAAACTTCATTACTATCAACCAAACAAAGGAAGCGGAATCCAAAATAAAAATAACTCTCAGGTCTCTTGGAATGTAGATCACCCTTATCATGATAAAATATTTAAATCGTACCTCTGTATACATCAACAAAGCAGGAGGACAGACAAGCTACAAAGTTGATACCTCACAATGTCTTCATTTCAACACTACGATGCTCTCGAGAGTTGTAAGAGAGAAGCCCTGAAAAAATAGAGGTGCATTAGTTACATCTTGCATCATGACCGTATATTTAAATCGAACCTCTGTCCCTTTTAACGTAGCAGGGGAGCAGACAAACTTCAAAGTACCCCAGAAGTAACATTTCATCCTACGATGCTCTCGTGAGTGGTAAAAGGGGGATCCCTGGAACATTATATAGTGCCTTAGTTACATGCTGCCAGGTGGCTAATTACTTAAAACGTACCTCTAAGTACATGAATGTAGCAGGATAGCAGACAAGGTACAGAATGTCTTCATTTCACACTAGGGGAGTTGCAGTGAAGCGAAACCCTGAAACAATACAAATACGATACTGGAACATGGCTAATTATTTAAATCGTACCTCTGTATACATCAACGTAGCAGGAGGACAGACAAGCTACAAAGTTGTTACCTCCCGATGTCTTCATTTCAACACTACGATGGTCTCGAGAGTTGTAAGAGGGAAGCCCTGAAAAAATAGAGGTGCATTAGTTACATCTTGCATCATGACCGTATATTTAAATCGCATCTCTGTCCCTATTAACGTAGCAGAGGAGCAGACAAACTTCAAAGTACCCCAGAAGTAACATTTCATTCTACGATGCTCTCGTGAGTGGTAAAAGGGGAATCCCTGGCACATTATATAGTGCCTTAGTTACATGCTACATGGTGACTAATTACTTAAATCGTACATGAATGTAGCAGGATAGCAGACAAGGTACAAAATGTCTTCATTTCACACTAGGGGAGCTGCAGTCAAGCGAAACCCTGAAACAATACAAATACGATACTGGAACATGACTAATTATTTAAATCGTACCTCAATATAGATCACCGTAGCAGGAGAGCAGACAAACTACAAAGTGCAGCGATGTCTTGAGTTTACACTACTATGCTCTAGTGACTAATTAATTAAATCGTCGGAAATATATGTGTAGGATGGGATCCCAGAAGGCGATGGCCTGCCAAGCATCTACTTAATGGCCATTATTCTGCTATATCTACGTGCGTTGTCTAAGGGCATCTGCTATTTGGACAAGCGATAGATTAATATAGTAAACATAGCAGAGGTTATCTTCATTTCGTCAATATATTTCAGTATTGTAGCGTAGGCACACTCACATGCATTCAATTTTTAAGATGTCGCGCGCTCTTCATAGGAAAAGCAAGAAAACCAGTTCGTAATTGTCCAGTTGTAGTGGTATTGACACCGAAACATTGCAAATATCTATGATTGGATATGGATCTAGTGAAATTAATGTTTGACTTTACGTTGGGGTTGACGACTTTTGTTTTTCTAGTTACTGGAGGTAAAGTATGTAATTTATATTCATTTATTTAATTATCTGAGAAGTTACCTAGACCGAGTCGAAATTAATGATGTGAGTGGTTTGGAAAAACAACTTTTCCAAGTCAGTCAATGTACTTCAGGCGAAATGTGAATTATTCTATTTTCATGCCTATTACAGCGAATGAACCTGCAGATGTTGAATGTATTACCCCCAACAACGAAAAAGCAAAATGTCAGCCACTATATACCTGCCTAGTGCTTCTCCAAGCGCTAATCACCCAAAGGAAAGAAGTTTTAAATTTCGTTCGCGAATCACATTGTGGAACATGGTCCAGTGAAACCCAACCGCTAGTGTGTTGTGGAACCAAGGCATCTAAGGTGGTAGAGGATATACCGAAAAAGGGCGAGAGTACTATTCCCCCTGTCATCCGAAAGCCAATATCGGATAAGCGATTTTGCGGTTACCAACACACCGATGATTATTTCTACACTGGTAACGTAACGGCGATAGACGAGTTTCCATGGTTGGCAGTTTTGAAGTACAAACGCGATGCGGATTTGGATGACAACCTGAATGATCACTTTGTTGAGTTTGGTTGCTCTGGTAGTCTCATCAGCAAACGATATGTCCTTACTGCAGCACAGTGTCTAAGGTTACGAACCAGCTCTGCGTAAGTCTTATTAGTATAAAATGTAATGGTACAGGTCCATTCTCTAGGGTAGCTGTGCGTTTGGGGGAATATAACATCCAACACGATACGGACTGCGTAAAATTTTCGGAACTCGACGACTGCAGTAGTCCAGTAGAGGATGTGGGGATTGAGAAGAAAATTAGGCATCCCCAGTACAATAGACGATTAGGTTTAAATGATATCGCCCTGTTAAGGCTTAATCGCAAAGTCGCGTTTACAGGTACCTAATCTAGTTAAGTTTGAACAGGTCACGTAGAGAATATAGCGTTTCAGATTACATTCGACCCATATGTCTTCCGGATAGCCAAACAAAATTTGCCCAGGTTGGAGATACGATGACATTATCGGGATTTGGTAGAATAGGTACCCACGACAAGTTTGCAATAATAAAAAAGAAGATTTTGTCACAATTGATTTCAAATGAACAGTGCGACCAGGAGTTTACCATAATTGACAGTAGCGCGCGCAGAAAAGTTACTGACAACATCATGTGCACCAAAGAGTTGGAAGTGAGCAACGACCGTTCGTGCGAAGGCGATTCTGGAGGTCCTTTGATGTTTTCGTACCGCACACAATGGCACATTGAAGGAGTTGCAGTGTGGAGTAGCACTATCTGCGACATTGCATATCCGTTTGCTTTCACCAAAGTTTTTAATTATATGGAATGGATCGAAAGTACAGTGGTGCCTTGACTTTGAAATTATAGTGTCTAATCACATTTGAACATAAAACCATATTTTATATTCGAAGCTATCACTGTGTTATTGTTGACACTACGGCAGACAAAATGCTCAGGCTGACAAATTAGATGTTACCTAAATATTTTAACTTTAGCTTTCTAATTGATTGATCGTCCTCATTTGAAAGTAGAGTGGACAACATACTTTATAACCAAAGGATGGCGATTATAACATTAAATTTTAAATAATCGTAATAATTTGATTATGACTGGAAGATATCTTAACCTAATATTGAGTATTAAGGGTGGTAGACGGCTTACTATTGTTTGCACGATCGCCTAGGTAAAATGTTGCACAGATATTGTTTTGCTTAGAAAAACTAGGGATAGACCGTTATGCATATTACTAAAATAAGGCACCCTGTATAAATCCTTCATGGGCAAACCTGGTGATATTTAACCTCTGATACAACCATTTGGGAAATGTTAAGAAGGTAAGAACTCACGGAAATTTTTAGTCAAAGCATACGGAAAAATAAAGAGAAAATTAAGTGCGTGAAGACGATTTTTTGACGACAGATATAATAGTTATACTGGCGGTTGTAAATACAAGTTGCGGAATTTTTAGACTATAACTTACTGATGGGAGCCATTTTGTTGAAAAAAAATTGTCGTCAATAGAGTATGAGATCATTTTCCTTCGATAACACCTTCACCCTTAAAAATGGCCAAATACACAGCGTGGAAAGCTGTGAAAACGATATAGAAAACGCACCTACATACTGCTGGCATCATTGAGCAGTTTACTACTTTACTAGGTATTGCCACAATGGTATTATTATTACTACCAGGAAGTGAAAAATCAGAGCTTTTCCATATTCCATACAAATAATTGCAAATACTTTCCGAAAAACTTCTGTACCGAAGCAAGTATTGAAGATTCTGAAAGGTACCTGAACTTTTCACATCCTGTGGTGCTCGTCCGAAGTGTTTCGGCCTAAGATTCAATACAATATAATTTTACAAGAGGTTTGATTACCGATAAAGCAGTCTCCGCCTCCGTTTCGGCAAGCACGGTAGTTACATTCAATAACTGCACTAATTATAATTTCAATTTTGTGTCCTATAACAAACATTAAAACCGTAAATATTGGCATTGTTTATGATTATTTACCGTTTAACAATCTGCAATTTGTGAGTACAACCTACTCAGTTTACAATTATTAAATCAATAAACATATCAACGTACTCCATTGTACAAAAACGAATTTTTTTTTGATAAAACGGAGCAAAAAGTCACAGTCTATGGACATGAGTACTATAATCTGACGATAACTAACCCATTCGAAACCAAAACTATATGCAATACAATCAGGGCAGGAGCGAAGAAATACACTTTTGTGCGTTTGTGTTTGTAGGAAATGGGAAATTTCTCCATTTATGTAAGCCCAACTTTCCTGATGTCATGAATTTTAGGGAAATTTTTCAAAAGAATAAACATAACCCTTATGTGATGATTTTGTCCATCCGTCTGTCTGCTCCTCGTTTATTCCTAAAGGATCAGTGCTATTGAATTAAAAGTCGCGATTCCAAAAAAATGCCCCTACTGAAAATCGCATTCGATTGGTATATCTGAGCACATCTTTGACATCTAATCTTCCCCTTTGCAACCCAGTTTTTGATCGTGATTTCTACCATACCCATCAGCAAAAACCTATTTGCCCATTACCCCTTTCAAAAATAAATAGTTATCTGACCAAAACTCACTCCTACTAAAATATCGCTTCTTGTCCGTTTAAAAGATTCCCAGTTTTGTTACATCTATAGGTACTACTTTCACAAATTAGTATATCTTATTAGTCAACTCAAAAAAGTTCATGCTAACTAACCCCTCGTATACGTTGAACCACGATATTGAGTAATAAAATTCCATCGACGAAGTTAATAAATATACCAGAAATCACTGCACAAGATCAGTAGTCCGTGTTCTGACTACTGCGGCAAACCCATGACGCAGATGTAGTCTTGTAGTCGTGCTATCTGCTATCATGTGTGTTTTCGTATTAGTGTTATTACTACATTTACTTAGAAGTCATGCAGGTACTATCATTTATTTATATTTTCATGAACAAATATAATTGCCGCAATACTACGTCAACGTCTATACGACAACATATGAGTGCTATGCTATACGTCAGAATTCTCACGGATTTCCCCGGCTAATACTTTGTGATCTTGTTTGAGTTTTGGCATTGAATAAAAAATTAAGTTATTCAATGGTTTGGGTTTAATAGACAATAAATATCCCAACGTGATATAAAAAAAAACAGCGGGATTTCGATGAAAATTACATCCCTGTTAATAGGTCCTTAGTTAACACATTACATATACTTACGAATGTTTTCTTTTAATACATAGCCACGCAAAATTCTAATTACTAATTACATCAATGAAATTTTTCTCTTTGATTTAGATTATTTAACGGATCCAACCAACACAATTTAATTTGTGCAATAAAAACTGAAGACCTGTCTTCATGAAGTCGGTGGTTTCCGTCACGTACAAATTAAATCGGGTTCCTCTGTGATACGGATACTTTCTAGATTATCCTAGCTCCAATGGAATGTAGATCTAATTTTTGGATAGCCGTCGGGTGTCACAGTATTCACGCGCAGATGGAAAACGCAATGGAATTTTTTTCGGATAATAAACCGCTTATACAGTTGTTTAGTAGTGGAAATGAATTTCCCTAATAATGCCCCTAGTAATGTTCAAAGAGAAAGGCGCCGTTTTTTCATGGATTACTGCGCGAATTTGTCCTACATTAACGAAAAACGTCCGTGATCTAATTATTTCTTTTAAATTAAACTGTCACCTTGAACTCTGTCAACGGAATTTTTACACGAAATGTACAATGGCGTTATTCCTTAGCCCGTGATAATTACTTGTTTTTATAGTGCGCACACGCGCGTGAAACATTTCCCTTCCGGACTAGTACATTAATTAATTCGCGCTTTTCCGAAGCATAGATTCCTTTTTTGAAATTATACACTTTACTTTCCCAGCGAAACAAAATTCCAAATTAGAATATGAATTTCACCACACTCTTGGCCTTTAGGCCAGTTTTATAGCGATCACAGACATCTTGCGCTGTTTCACGAAAATAAGCTACATTTTTACCAACGCGGCAAAGGCCAACGAAGGCTCTCGAAATTAAATTTTTACTCGGAATTCTACGGTTAATACCTCCACCGAATGTATCTATCTTTTCTGATTAACTACCACCCGCGAATGGCTTGTTATCAATGAAATGCGGTCATCTCTACTTATTCAGTGGTTTAGAGTAGATAAGGTCAATTAAGATTCCCACTTTAGCTCTAGTTATAACGACATCTTGTCCACCAGGACTACATCCGGAACCCATTATGAAAATAATGCTCTACGGAAATTAAAAGACCCAAAAAAGACAATCTTCAATTCCACCCAATTCTCACAGATTTATTCATAAGATTCCAGTAGCTACATGGTTTATTGGAAAACATTATCTATAATGCCTAACCTGCTTTAACCTTTGAAATCCCAAAAAGGCTTTCCTGTTTGGTATAGAATTAAAAAAAATAAAACCCAATTTAGAGCTACCGTTACACCTGTTTTAAGAGCTCGAAAGTAAGACAAATTTTGGGTATTCAAATTTAAGAATGAAGAAAATCTTGTTATGGTGATCCTTCACGCAATGAAAGGAAAGCTTATACCGACTTATTACTAGATTTGTAAAACCAAAACGAGTAACCGATTAGACTTTCAAGTATTTACTTACGGATTAAGAAGAGCATTACCAAAGAAGTAAAAAAAAGTGCGAGGTCATTTTTTACCCCAATGCAATACCTCCCTTACTAACATGCGGGTGGTAAAGAGTAAATTTTAAAAAATTGTTACTTAAAGACTTACATGCCGTAGCGCAGCTGTGATCATCGGTGGACTACTAACTACTAACTGGATAACTACTAATACAAATCACCTAAAGGGGTGGAACCGCCTGATATCACTGCTTTACGTAACTAACTTGAAATTTTATAAGGAATACGTACCGTCATGACTCATGACCATAATTGTGTATTTGAAATGTTTTGCTTTTATGGATGTCTAACGGGGATCGGGTTTCGGCACTCCTACATTTTCTTATGCAAATGCGGTTCATGGTTTTAGTTTATTTGGTTATTAAACAACCTAATCAAAAAGTTTACCTTTCGGTGGCTACTAAAAGAGAAAATATAACCACCGAAAGATTAACTTTTTTATTTATAAGAACTAAAATGCAAAATGGAAATCTTCATCGAACGTATACCTTTTCGTCGGTGTGTTGTTTTCATTGCATTTTAGAAACGATACAGTGTGATTGTCTCCTCATACATTTTGCCCGCTAGATCATAACAAGGCAGTCCGATTCCCAGAGACATTCTAACAATAAAACGAACTCGTTTCAAAGCGCAACTGTGACATCAGCGGATCACAAGTTTTGCTTTATTCGCGTTTCCATTTCAGTTTTTATTACGATAAAGGCGGCAAGGGCACATGCACTTCCAGTTCCTATTATAAGGTCCTATAATTGATTTGTTCATTACACTGACTTGATGTTCTTGATATCGCTCTCTTAACAGCAACAGCAGATCAGTGATCACTTTAACCGGAAGGGTAAATAAAGTAAAACAAATGATTGCACATTCTAATCACATCTGTCATTCTTCTTAAAAATGGGACGCAGAGCATGAAACAAAATGAAGTTCAGAACAGAATACAATATTGTTTCCATGGAAACGACGGAATCTAAGATAAAGAAAAGCTAACCATCGAGTGAAAGATGTCAATTATCGAGTGGCTACGCCACCAGTGAATTACCTTTCACGGGAAACCTCTCTTCATCGTCTTGTTCTATTGTCTATTACTTTTTCCTCCTGGCTTTTATATTATATTTATTTCCCTTACTACCCCTGGATTTCAAATAAAGGATAGAAATTAAAGAACAGTCAGGACGTCCATTGGATCATCTGACCCAAACGATGCACCTCCCCCTTTCAAGATCAATTATTAATCGACCCTTGTCTCAATTAGGCATCATTTAGCATTTAAGATATACACGCATAAAATACATAATGCAGCCAAAAATGTGTTTGTTCGGTTATCCGGAAACTTTTGTTTACACGCAAGATTAGGCACAAAAGAATAGACATACTTCCTGTGGAGTAGGATGGGCTCAACTTTCAATTACATATGAAGCAAAAATGTAGGACGTGGACAAACTACCAAAAAATATAGCAAATACTACCAGTCTCACCAATAAAATTCATAGAAAGCCACTGTACTTCCGGCGAAGCAGGACGGCCTCTAGTGGTGTATATAGTATTTTGGAAATCGATTCGGATGTATACAGGGTGACAATTTGAAAACTTACCACCCCCCATATCTTAGTAAATAAACGAGATATTTAAAAAAATCAAAATCTGTTTCGGTAATTCGGAGGGGGAATCACAATGACATAGTTGGCGACGCACCCCCTCCAACCCCTTGCGCCACAGCCACCCCAACTTTTAAATCTTAAATAGTGATCCCTCATGTGTGATACGTCGTTGGAGAGCTCTGAAAAAATGCTTTCCAATCATACCAAATGGCATTACATTTAGGTTAGTAATTATCGTGCAAATCAAAAAATTAACTAATATGATACATTTGAAATCTGTCGTATTTATAACGCAACCGGCGAACATAGACGAACTAAGACAGAGAATAATTCAAGAATCTCGAAATATTGCAAAATCAACATCAAAGGTTCAACAAGAGTTTGAGAATAGATTATAACTGGCGATCAAAAATGAGTTGCTGTCGAGTCGGCTTTGGAAGTTCAAGTTAAATACGATTTTCCATGTTTATTTTTTGATTTGCACGATAATTACTAACCCAAATGTTATTTGGTATGGTTGGAAAGCATTTTTTCAGAGCTTTCCAACGACGTATCACACATGGGGGGTCACTATTTAAGATTTAAAAGTTGGGGTGGCTGGGGCACAGGGGGTGTGAGGGGGTGAGTCGCCAACTATGTCATTGTGATTCCCCCTCCGAATTACCGAAACGGATTTTGATTTTTTTTAAATATCTCGTTTATTTACTAAGATATGGGGGGTGGTAAGTTTTCAAATTGTCACCCTGTATAGTGCAAATCAATCTCAACGTGCAACTATCTTGATACCTTCAACTATTGACCGACTAACCGTCACACGAAATTTTAAATTATAAAAATCTACCATTCGCGGCGCATTATTGGAAAGATCAAAAAACATGTTTTCCATTAATTCTATAGACCACATTTTGAAACTTTGGAGTAAATTGTGTGATTGATCCATTTGTTTTATCACAAAAGAAAATGTTTCTCGGTCATCTACTCTTGTTTTCCATAACAATGTTAATTTTTACATAGCTTACTAGTTCATTTACAACACTTTCCCACCAAGGCACGAGAAAAATATATTTTTTTGGAATTTAATTTAGTAAATGATTACCAAAGAGGTAGTTACGTTCAGATTGGCTCCCACTATACGACTTACACGGTTTTGGGTGGTTTTAAATATTTCTAACAATAAAAATAAATCCCTTTAAATTCTAATGGGCACCTTTTGTAGTAGGTACAACACGACCATATTGGAATTAATCGCTGTCAAAATATGAAATCAATCGGAAAAGAAGTTTTGAGCAATTATTTAAATTTTTACTTATACAAAGCGTTTGACAGTTATCCTGTACATGGACAGGTGGACAGACAGACACCATCGCCTCCCCTATAAAACTTGCATCGATTTGCTGTGCCGCTTAATAAACACAAATGTTTGATGGTGTAGTACCCAAACGAAACGGTTTAGATTTGCTTTAATTGAATAAATACATTTGTTTGGACCCCCTCTACCACCAAAATTTTTTTAAAAATTAAAAAAAATGTGTTATTGTCCGTCCGTCCCTCTGTCAGCCTTTCCGGAGTAACTTCTGCGGTTTTGAACTATCTTTAGCGGAATTGTCCTATATGCAATTTTGAAATAGGTAGCCTATACCTTGAAGGTGTGCCAGATGGTGTTCAAATTTTGTGGTCTTGAGGGGGGCCACCCCTATTAATTATTTCCCGAGATGCTGTCTTTGAAAATAAAACGTGCATCACTTTTACATGAGACAACCAGTGGTGTCAGATTTTAGATATGCATGGATATTATAGTGGCGCCATTGTTTAAATACTTTTAAACAATGGTGGTGCAAAGTAAAACTTTTGAAAATGGAGGGAGGGAAACTGTGAACTTCGTCTGTTCATCTCTCGCTGAAACTTCATCCTCTATACCTCCTACAGCTTCATTTCTAATTTTGACGAGATGATAGCACTCTGTAATGATCGGTAATGGTAACATTTGGGGACATTTTGTGCTTGTTTTTCATGGTTACTTAGTCTAAACCTATAAGTAAGCATATTAGGTGCGTGTACATTATTTTTGTGCACAAACGTTGTATGAGATATTTGGGGAAATATCTCGGGAAATACGCTCTTACCATCATGTCCGCTAATGACCTGATATAAATTCCTACTATAATGAATATTTAGATTTGCATATTTCCAATCGTTTTCGCGCGTTCAAGACTTTCCTACGGAAAGTTACATGGAAAAACCACACCAGTAAAGTAAGCTATGTATGTGGTATGTTATAGTGTAAAGCGTTCGTTCAGAAGGTACGTGCGCTGTTTCATAGTAACGACGTGTTCAAGAGTGGCATAAATATGCATACATGTGTACTCGTACTAGTGCTATTGACATCCCTAATTCAAATTCGAGCAGGTACATACAGCAATTATCGTAATGTAGCAAGTAACATTGGGTACTCATTTTTGCGTCAATTATATTTGCCTAAATGTTACACTGTTCAGTAAATTTGGGACAAAAATGGTACTGTTTGCGACCTGTTAATTCGTGGCTGCCGCTAAAGTGAATGAAATTTTATTGAACATATCATAGTATCTAAATCAGTTACCTAACACTAATTTATATAGTCGATCTTTTACAGATGACAATTGCATTACACCCAACAACGAAACAGCATCATGCAAGCCCCTTTATAAATGCCCTCAACTACTCGAGGTACTAATTACCCAGAAGAAAGAAGCAATAGACTTCGTTCGCGAATCACATTGCGGATCTTGGTCCAGCGAAACCCAACCGTTCGTTTGTTGCGGCACGAAGTCGTCCCGAACAGCAGCTAATGATTCGTACGATCAAGTCACCGTCCGCGCATCCCCGACAAGGCAAAAAATATCCGACAAAAGATTTTGCGGATTTCAGCACACCGACGATTACTTTTATGCGGGAAACGTAACGGCGATAGACGAGTTTCCTTGGCTGGGCGTGTTCAAATACAAACGTGATTCCGATTTGGAGCAGAACGATGACGAGGATTTTTACGAATTTGGATGTGCCGGAAGTCTGATAAATAATCGATACGTGTTAACAGCAGCTCAGTGCCTGAGGCTAGCAACTAGCACGGTGTAAGTTAACTTTACTCGCGAAAAATTGGAAAGTGCAGTTTCTGTTGTTATTTAGGGTAGCAGTGCGTTTCGGGGAGTATAATATTAAGCACGATGTGGATTGCGTAAAATTTTCGGACATTGACGATTGTAGCAACCCCGTTGAAGATGTCGGTATTGAGCGGAAGATTAAGCATCCGAATTATAACAGAAGAACTGGCGTGAATGATATTGCCTTGCTGAGGCTCAACAGATCAGTTTCGTATTCTGGTAAGGTCCACTTTGGCTAAAGTACAGCTTTAATTGTTGAGTTTCAGATTATATTCGCCCAATATGTCTTCCAGACGCTGAAACAAGATATGCACGTATTGGAGAGATAATGACTTTAACCGGGTTTGGACGAGTAGCTACTGATAAAAACTATGCAATCATTAAGAAGAGAATCACATCCAGATTGATATCAAATGAACAATGTCGTACGGAGTTTTCAGATATTAAAGATCGCAATCGATACGTTACCGATAATATCATGTGCACCAAAGAGCTTGCAGACAATAAGGATCGTTCGTGCGAAGGAGACTCGGGAGGTCCTCTAATGTTTTCTCATCGTACCCAATGGCATATTGAAGGAATTGCAGTTTGGAGTACAGCCGAATGCTCCATTGACTATCCTTTTGCGTATACAAGGGTGGCTAATTACATTGATTGGATTGAGCGTACTGTGGTGTCCTAATTTAAATACTCTAATTGTAATTTAACTTATTAAAATTTATACCTTTTTGTATTTTGACTGAATGATGAAAAACGGAAAAAGAATTAACACACCAGCCTTGCGTCGTTAGGTAAAAAAACTTTTTGAGTTTGTTTTCTCCTTAGCTAATCTTTTTTCGATTTTTCAGTTTCAGGTGCGTTCGTTTTTTGGTTGCCTCGCCTTGTGTGGGGTTTCGCGGTTTTTTAATCTCGTTCATTTTTGTCAAATTCTATTTTACTTTCTTCGTATTTTTGTCTCTTTGCGCCTACAAAGGAAATCTTTACGAGTTGCATACGAGGGATACAAAACCCCTATAATACTCAGGGCTACTTTTGAGAAAACCCAAATGCTATCAGCATCTCGCTTCACAATTGAGTTACAAGTGGTATTCCTCTATTTCAACCCCGTTGAGATTCTGCCTGTTGTCAAGTCTGAAAATGGACCGTAAGGGAAATATATAAGATGGCGTCCAATATAGCGATTTTTGGATTACCCTGGCGTGTTCTCAGTCTAAAATGCCCAATTTTTACAGTTCAAGGATCTGGAGCTGGACCTACGTTTTTGGGATCGAGGAACACGAAGGGTCAAAAATGAAGTCTGAAGTGAAAAACCGGAATTTTTCATATTTGGGGCAAAATGGTCTTAAAAATTCCACCTTTAAGCCATTGTATTGATTGTACCGAAACCACCATCTGGACAATTGGGCAATGAGATAAGCATCCGAACTGGATTTATCCAACATGTTTTACCAGTCAGGCAAAACGATCTTAACTTCTGCGTATTATAAAGTGTATCGTTAAATACCTCTTCAAGGGATAACTTTTAATTGTAATTGTTACCGTAACTTGGTCAGTAAGTTATCGTAATTCCTACCGATGCATAATAGACTTGAAACCACCACTTACTTCTGAAGGGGTTGGCCAATTAAATAGCGCGCCTAGTATAGACGCACATTACGAGTACAGCGAGGCCCTTCAGGCATTAATCAACTAATTGTATACCGAGACCTGCGGCGTGGGAGGTTCTTCTCTTGATTGTTTTCAGATTTAGATGCGAGGACTAAGCTAAGGTAAGAATTTCCTTATGTTTTACTTGTACTTGGCCCTATACGTGCGAATCTTTGCCCGGAGCGTGAATTAATTTGTGAAAAGGTTTTAAAGGTTCAGTAATCAGTGTAATCGATTATTCTCGATTGAGGGTTTGGTAAATTGGGGAATTTACTAAGAGTTGTGTCACGTAAGTCATAGTCATTGAATATTTGTAGCAATGTTTTGTATTTATGTGAGACGTTATCCAACTGTTGTGGACGATTATTATTATTTTTGCTATTGATATTTGGAATAAATCAAGTTGTGACACTTTCTCTGATCCGACATAGTTGGAAGCGTAAAATCTAATGAATGAGACAGATTTATTATAAACAGAGAAAAGATGTGCAACTCAACCGTGTCCTACAAGGCCGAAAAGAACTCACCGCGCCGTAAAACAAGATGCGTGATCAAAATGAAGCCGCAAACGTCATTCGGCAGCATTAAAGAAGAAGAAGAAACAACTCGAAACCAGGTGGTCCACTAAGTCCATCGATTAAATTTAAGGTATAGTCGATCGATTGCAATTAAAGGTCATAGTTTAAAACGTATATTACCCAAATGCTGGTCTCCAAAACTGAGCATTGGTTTCGAGGGTTTCCTTCCCAGCTTTTTTCATGAATGCTTCACGATAGTTTTACCAAAAGTTTGTCTGCCGGAACCAATTGAATATTTGTCATATTTGTTGTTTAAAACAAAATTGAAAAGATCAGGAATCAGTCTGAATACTTTCCCTTAATTTGGAAAATGCAGCTAAACAGTATTTTTGCAGCTAAACAATAAAAAGACCACTGCAAGACAGTGCATGACATTTAGCTCGTTGTTCCAATTTTCTGAATGATAACGCAATGGGTAAATTGATGATAGCGTGTCTTTTAATCATAACAGATTAGTTTAAATAAATTAGTGCGTATTATTGTATCCGTAAATCAAGTTGCAATTGTGAACGATGAAGTGAAACGATGGTTAATATGTTTAGTGTTTTTTATTGCCAATGTTCAAGCAAGTATAAGGTAGTGTATATTTTAATATGGAGTGCTAATCCCATAAGCATACCTATACCACAGAACAACATATACTTAGCACAACCCCCAATATCAAGTATTAGCAACAGACAACATATACTACAGACGGTCAATGCAATGCTATAGAAATAAACGCAACACGTAATAGAGTACGACTAGTGTGTTGTCTACCTTGAAGCAGTCGAAATAAATTGTTGTAAAATGTGGTAGACGCACAGAAAACTGTTGTGTGTGGTAAACGTGTGTAATAGATGGAGTCATTTTTGTAAAAATAAAATACATATACTCAAACCTTATTTCCTCGGCTTCAACGCCGGCTTTTACGTAGATAAGATAAGCGCTCACTTGTATAACATCATAAATTACATGAAATAGGATACATTTTAATTCTTCATTTTTCTCTTTTCTAAACATTTAAAAAATTGATGGAGCGGGTTTGGTTATTATACAAGGGCGGAAACTAAATTTGGCCTCCACATATAAAATTATGAGGTTGGACAAGGAAAGATTTTATTAGAATAATAAACATAATTTTTGTTTTTCCATAATAAATATATTATTATACCTGGTGGTGACTTGAACAACGCACCATAGGAATTGCAATAGTAATTTTTTCATTTCTGATTATTGACTTCTCTAATTATTTTAGAGAGAAAGTCTATTTAGGTTTTTTGTAGAGAAAAAAATTACGAATCCATGCATACTATAGCTTTTAATTTTCTGAACTTTAAATCCAAGAAATTGGATAATTAAAAACTGGCGCTTTTAAGAAAATCAGTGGTGCCATGGCAATTTGAGATCAAAATGCAGGCGCTTTTGTTTGATTTCCTAACTCCATGGAATTACCGACTTGGCGTCCAGAGCCTGGCGCTCCTCGCCCCTCCCCCTCGCACGGCCTTGCCTACCTATATGTATCTGTGATAATACCATCACAACATTTTTTGATTAGGGGAGAGAGCACTTAACGAACTTTATTTTATGTCAATGTGTAGGGTCAACATAGTCCAGTCACAGCGACGTCGGAAGTGAATAACGGTTGGGGGGGGGGGCAAAAATCAGCGACCATTGAGTCTGAAAGGTCCTTCCCATGCAAAATTGTGTACGAATTAATGCAAAGCAGTGGGTTTTTTAAGTGACCCTGAAACCTGTTTATTTAATCAATCAAATAATGTATTTTTGAAAGAAGTTTTGAAAAAAATTTAAAAAAGTGTCGGAGGATGTCTAGTTACATGCAACTGAGCAACTCAGAGATACTTGACTCGATTGAGAAAACCATAGCCATAGATCATTAATATTTTATTTAAAAAATAATGAAGAACTAGAACATACAAGTTACAAAAATTTTGTCCCTGTTTATTGCACTATTGAGCATCGTAAAGAAAAGCAAGTATAAAAAATTAAATATATCCAAAAATTTTCCGCCTTTCCGTGGTTTCCTGGCAAATTCTTTCAATATATCCTCTACTTCTACACTTTTTGTAATTTCTGCATGCACATGCAGTAGAAGATGTGTTAGTCGCTTTTTAGTGATTTATCTACTCTTTCTTAGAGGGGGCGCGGCCCCACCTTGTGTAAAAACTGAGGGGGCCACTCGCCCCCTCTGACCCGTACTTCCGACGTCGCTGTCCAGTCAAATTAGCTCCAAAAGTATTCTAAACTGGATGTTGGCATTTCACACAACGAAACCAAGTGTATTTTATGTAGTTCCCTGCCCGGAAGCTCCCGGAACATATTGCTATACAAAAAAAAAACCAAGAAAAAATGGAAAAATGCAGTTTTTTTCGCATTTGACTTCCAATTATCTCGTCAACTATTGCTCGAGCTCATAGAAATGAATTTGTTTAGAATCGAATTTTCAGTTGGTACAGAACCGTTCATTTTTAAATGTTATTGTTTTTTCTGGAAAAATACAAAAAAAGTAATCCCAAAAATTACCATTTGTTTTTGTTGATACGCCCTTCTCAATGGTTTGTCCTTCAAACTGGATGACTCCCGGAGCGTTTTCAATATTTTTATGGATGGTGGAACCGTAAAACAACCTATTCCAACAATTGTCTGTTGTCCCGATGAGTTTTGCAAATCGACGGACTGTGGAATTAGTTTAGTGGCCTGTTTAGTGGAAACCCCAGAAACAGAACAAGAAAGTAACTTTATAATAGGCCCTTGGCACGCTGTTTAATAAAAAATCATACCAACTGTATCTGATAGAAAAATCGATTCTAAGCAAATCGTTCTCTTCATTTTTTCCGTAAGAGGAATAGTTAACGAGAATACGAGATACCTAATTAAGTCAAATGCGAAAAAACGATATTTTCCCATATTTTCTTCGTTTTCTTGTGTATAGCAATATGTTCCCGGAGTTTCCGGTTAGCTAGACTGTCATTTACGGATTCAGGGGATTTTTTTGCATACAATACATGGTTTGGTTGAGTGAAGTGACAACACACTAAACCGGCAGACAGTAATAGATACAAAACTATAAACCATCTCGAGGATCGCTATTAAAACTTTGCTTTGTGACAATTTTCGTAGGTAATTGCACAAGCGCATCAAAATGCTCTTTTAACAAAGTATGAAGTGTAACTTCAGCGCATTTTCCATAAATTGATCAATACTTCTCCAAAGGCCATACCTATGTGCGCTACGTTTTTCATTACTAGACGCATATATGGTTAAAATTTAAAAAAAATATTTTCATAAATAAGGAAGTTGACACTTACTGCGCAGTTGATATTGCGCGTCCTGCGCATGCGCTTATTAATCTCATATTTACAATTTGCAATACGTTTGCTTTTACTATAAGTATCTTTGGTTAAAATTTCAAAGAAATATCTCCATAAATAAGAAAGTTTGCATTGCGCATTCTGCGCATGCGCACATCTGATTTTTACTGTATGCGATATATTTGCCTTTACTACAA